TTTTGATATGTGACATCATCTCTAATCGAAACCTTGTGACTATTAGATTGTTTATCATATTTTAACGCCTAAAAAGGATATAAAAAATATCAAACAAATTTATATTTCTCTTCCCGACTCCTGAAAACGAAGCTTGTAAAATTCTAAAAACAAACTAAATATTCCACATTAACCTTTTTTAATTCACAAGAATAACCTGTAACGCCTGAATTTCGGCTGAATATTCGCCATCCGGGCCAATTTTAAGTTCCTTAACGAATGCAGGATGTTGATCGACCTCCTTACACCATTCAGAAAAATTGAAAGGCGCTCCTCCACGAGATTTCTCCTTTTAATAAAATATTAAAACTCTAGAAAATGTTTCAAAATTAAACCTTTTTGGCGGCAAAATCTTGCATGAACCTGAAAGAGAAAAATTAAAATATATGGGCACTTTTGTAAAGATAGGAGTAGCCCGGAATTTCTTTGAAAATTAAACCTGTAATTTTACTACAAGCAATGAAATGCTTAAAGTTTAAAATAAAATTAAAAATTACTTGTCCAAATCCTCATCAAGTTTCTTCGCCAAGTCCTCCATCGAGTTCAAAATATTTAAAAACAAAAACAAAATTTGCATTTTAAATTACTTTTATTTTAAAATAATTGTTCAATTTGTAATTTAATTGCAAACAAAAATTTAAAAAATTTTTATCATATACTTTAATGATAAAAACATACATTTTACGTTATAAACTAAACAGAAGAGTTTATTTATTTTTGAACTAATTAAATCTCCTTCAGAACAAATAAACCCTTCTTCAAAATAAATATGTAAATTTTTTAGTAGTTAATGTTACAATGTTAGAGAAAAAAATAAGGCTGTTAAGGTTACTAGTGATCGGAAGTTTAACTGAATTGGGAATCTCTGCTAAATAAACTAAAAATATTCTGGGATAATTGAACAGTCCGATACCTAGTTTACATATCACTTTACAAGGATTGAAGAATGGGGAGCAAATTAATGTTGGTAAACTAAAGTAAGGTAGGACACAAACCGGTTATTAACCGTACCCTCGGTTTTCGGTTTTGGCCGGTTTAAGAACCCCGATTTTCTGTTTCCGTTCGGTTCACCGATTGTCCTAGCCTACGGTAAAAATACAAAGCGGCCCATTCTTCAAATGACACCGAAGGACAGGAAAGAAGTTTTGCAATCTGTGGTTAGTTTTACATACCGAACATCAGAAAAATTGATAAAATATATATAAAGATTTCTCGACTCTTTTGCGTTTCCGTTCCAAACAGAGTGCTAAACTTTGTCGCATCCAATGACTAGAAGACATCGCCAGGTGGTGGAGGTTGATTGTTATCGTTAGATGACGAAACGGAAGGTTTGCCCTCTGACTGTTCTTCAGTATTACTCCCTCCAGAACGCATCGAAGCCGGTCGCATAAAGAACATCCTAAAAATTTGTTTGGGTATTTTAATTTATCACTAAGTGTAAGCATACATCATTGCAAACAATCCCCAAGCCATAGCAATTAACATCATATTTGAACCGGCACACGAAGGATCTCCGGTACCCGTTGTGCATTCCGTGTCGGTGCAATCGGTCTGGGAGTCGCGAAGCTAAAAATTTTTTGATTAAAATAAAAATAGATTTAAGACTAACAATTGAAAGAATTCGACGCATCAAAGATTCGTGATTGAAAAAACACTCACAGGGATCCATTGCCTTGAATTTTCCTGATCGTAATTGAATTTAAATGAAAATCTCTAAAAAATGGAAAAAGAAATTAAGCTCTTAAAAGTTTAATCTAGGAAAATAACAAAAATTAAAAATAACAGAAATTCACCACCTAATTTACAATTAAAAAGCTGTCAATTGAAGTAACACCTAATAGGGAGTTAATGCTTATCAGATGTAAAAATGAAGGGCTTATTGCCATAAATACACGTCGCTCAATTGATTAAACTACACGCATAACCATTCGTTACACTGACAACACTCTCCCTCTCTCCTGTTAAAGTTAACTCTCTCTTGTCCTCTTTCTCTACTTAAATTTACATTTTTAATGAAAGAACGCCAAGAAAATGCCAAAAAGGCGCAAACTTAACAAACTATTTGTTGCACAACTTACATTAAATTTGACAGCCAAAATTTTGTTTTAACAATCTCGACTTCAAAGGATTTTAATGGAAACTAAAAAACGTTTACCAGCTTGAACTCGGAATTAACAAAATATTTAAAAAAGATCATTAGGTAAAATAATCCTACACGTAGTAAATATTAAAATTTTTATCAAAATAATTTTTATAATAAATTTAAACGTGAAGATAGATTCATTTCTTTGGAAACCTTCCAGTAACTTTAAAGTGTCGTCCTCCATCCCATTTCCTTTTTTTATTCGAATTTTCAAAAGTTTTCTTTCCAGCATTTTCAAAATTTCCTTTCCTTTTTCTTTCAGTTGATGAATAAGCTGGTTTCTCATCCTCCTCGCTTATCTGTCCTTCCTCAGTAGAATCACTAAAAATAATAAACACAAAAAATTTTACTTTCCCCCACACAAACCTTCCATCTGCATTTTCTTCGTCATCGCTGTTCTTCGGATCCAAGTCAGGCAAGCAAAGTCTTCTGCGTTCGTGAAACTCCATCAATTTCTTTAATGTTTAAGTAGAAGCACTTGTCGGCACTATACAAAGTGAAAGGCGCCTTTCACTTCATATAGTGCCCACTCGTCTAAATCATATAAAAATTATACCTCAACCTCCGGATTTTGTCCTTTAAAAGAGAAGCGCCCAAATCTCATATTTTCCAAAACTGTATAGCGCCACTCGCTCATAACACCACCAAGCGTCCTAAAATAATAAAGTTTTTAATGTTTAACAAATTTCCAAACCAATTCGGGTCATCGTCGATGTGCTCAGCGGTTGGATAATATTTTGGAGGATCTACTGCCATTATACCAGTAAATATATCTTCACGAGCTTTTTGTTGCTGTTGAGCCCTCTGCTGTTTTTCCAAGCGAACTGTAGTTCGTTTCATGAACTAAAATTAAAATATTGAAGGTAAAAGTACTTATCTTTCCCAACTTACATTCATTCGCAAAACTTCCGTTGATATTTTCTCCACAACTTCAGTACTCTTATTTCCTTTGTCGACCGTCATAATTTCAACCATAAATTTAAAAAAAAAACTAAAATTTTAGCATACAAAAATTATACAAAAAATATATAACAAATCCGTTTCTACAGATTAAAAAGATTTAAAAAATAGAATAAAATATTTATTTTTAGCTTGTTTATGTACAAATTAAAATTAAGAATTCAAAAAGAAATTTACTAAAAATTAAATAACATTCCCTCCAAATAACGCCCTTTCTAATTCATCTACATCATTACTTAGCTCCTTGTTAATGTCCTTTTGTTGGTTTTTCTGTTGTTTTTTCTGTTGGTCAGACATTAATTGACTTTCATTCCTTTGCTGCTTTTCATGTTCCTCCTTCATTTGTTGCATCATTTTAGCCCCTTCCCTTCTCAATTCTTCAATTAAGGAATCCCTAGTTTCTGCTTTCCTTTTTTCGCCTGCTCTTGCCGCCGCAGCATTTTTTTCAGCCTAAAAATAAATAAAAAAATTTTTAAAATTAAAAAACAAAAAAAAACCTCGCGAAGTTTTGTCAAATGTGCAAGTCTTTCCTTCGAGCTCGTTGCTTGCCTAGTTTCTTCAAATTCCGCTCTTTTCCGTTTTGCTGCGATTTGTTCGTCATAATCCCCCCGTGCAATCTCGTCTTTGAGGAATTCAAATGCCCGATAAATTTTCAAAAACATTTGTTGAGCACGTTCTTTTTGGTCTGGATTCTTGTCTGGATGCCATTTTAATGCCATTTTCTTGTAGGCTTTGTCGACTTGAGACGATGTACATCCAGATTGAAGTTGAAGTACTTTATAAGGATCAAAGTCGATAGTCTTTTTTTGAGTAGACATATTTAAAAATCTGAAATTTATGAAATTTTGGTCTCGATTTCTTCAAACTAAAATTAAATTAAAAACAAGCCCAAAACATAAAATTTATCAGGAAAATAAAAAAAAATTATTAAAAAATTAACTCTAAAACGGCTACTTTGAAACGTCCTTTACCAAAAACTTTGGGAATATCAAAACGGTCAAAATAAAAATATCACATCAAAAAACTTTTTTTATTTACATTAACAACTTTTAGGTTTTAAAAATGGAAAATTCCGGCGAACTTGTATTCCACGAGGAAGTTGAAATTGGAGAATTCGAGTTTGACCAAGAAACTAAAATTTATACATATCCGTGCCCTTGTGGTGACAGGTAAAAAATTAATTTAATTTGACCAAATATATTCCCTTTATTTAGATTTGAAATTACAAAGGAACAATTGGAAGCTGGTGATGATGTCGCAGTCTGTCCAAGCTGTTCATTAATGGGTAATTTATTTTTTTATTAATCTTATTGTTAATTTTAAAGTTCGCGTCATTTACGACCTTGCGAAATTTCGAGAGTCAAATTATGTCAATGACGCCGTCTCTGTTGGCGCTAATTGATTTTAAGGGATGAGAAGTCCTGTAATGGAAGTAAACCATTTAAAGTTATGTATTTTTAAAAAATATTTTGTTTTCGGTGAATAAAAATTGAAAAATTCAAGGCAAAATACAATTAAATAGAAAAAAATAAATACAAAATTTACAATATTTTTTGAACTTTAATTTTTTGCAAACGTTCAGTAAAGCTCTTTTTGTCAACTTAATTAGACAATCCACAATTTATCTAGTTGCAAATTGTCGTTGTGTTTCTCCCAATTTTAGTCGTTGTCCACCTTATAAATTAATAAAAATTAAAATGCTAATCTACCCTTAGAAGTCATTGGCAATTTTGATATAATTCCACTTTAATGTTAAATTTACTCTTGTCTAATGGCAACAATCAGTCATAAAATTAAGGCACTCCGTTGTTACTAGTTCAAAAGAATTATAACCTGAAGTAAAGATTGGAGGCGGTGTTCTGGTGCCTTGAGGAATTTTTACTCCACGTTTTATCGAAGGTGATGGTGAATGCCACAACATGGCTATCTTTTGTGAATTATTTGAAGGAGAGGGGAGCTTATCACTTTTTCCTTCATCGTAATCAAGCAAAGTTAAAGGCGATCTGTTGATGATTCTGCATTGAGGGTGTTGTAATGTGCCTTTGACACAGGAGATAGCTAAATTTGAATGAAGGATAAGGGTTTTTTGAGAATATTAATTTACTACAAAGTGGCAAAACAGAAGAATTGTTACTGTCAAATCCACAACTACTGTTTCCTGTGCTTCCATTAGTTGAAATGCCAGAACGAAGAATCTATCAAATATTTTTTTGTTTTTAAAGACCCCCTTACCTCATTCAAATAATCCCGGAAGCAAAAGGAAATTTGTAACTGCCAAAAATTGAAAAGAAAGAAAACAATCAGTATAGCACAAATAAGAGCACAATGTGGATAATATGGGGATATATTCGGGTACATATCTAAAAGAGAAAATGTCTGAATTTTTTAAACGTTTAAATTCCTTACTGTCAAATGCCCAATTCAAAACCTAAATTTAAAAATTAAAATAGGTAGAATAAATTTTGGGGGTAAACCGAGTTATCATTTTTCCTTCTCCAAGTATTTCCCTTTATAGAATGGTCGGATTTCTTCCTTCCTCAATTTCGCTTTACAGGGCGACATAAGAGATTTTGGTTGTAGCCCCCCATTTTATAGCCCCCTCTTTCAGAGCTTACAAGTCCGGTTCCATTATTGAATTTTTCTACAAGAGTTTGCGTTCGCAATTTTTTAACCTAATTTTCGAGGAAGGTAACAAAAAATTAAATTATAAAAAATGGGTGTCTTAAAACTCGGTTTACCCAAATCGAGTAAATGTACTTACTAACCATTATAATGTAAAGTGGTTTGTAAATAAAGAAAAATAGAAAGACAATAGTTGCATATGCATCCAAAAATAAGTGAAAGAACTAAAAAAATCCTCTTTATTTTTTTAATCATATAAAATCTATAAAATACCGAAATTCCTATGATTGGCCAAAGGAAAGAGGGTTTATGCCTGAAAATGGCAATAGCTGACAAAACAACCACACCTGAAAATCCATTGGACAAGTCGAAATTAAAGAAATACTTAAAGGGACGATCATCACACAGAGAGCACGCCTAAACCAAATAGCCTCAAGAATGCATAAAACGACCGTTAAAACCAGGCCAACGCTCACCAAAAATTTCATTCCATTCTAATTAAATTATTTTTAAATTATTAAATAATTAAATTAACGGTTAAATGCAAAAGTCCAAAAAGACAAAAGTGCTGTTGATGGTGGAATCGCTCTGTTCCTCCTCCTTTGCATCTGGCAAGAGAGGAATCGCGGTCTTTTGTTAACTAAAAAATTAGAAAAGCCTTAAAAAATCAAAGTAAAATTACCCCTTTAGTATCCAACAATTCACCATTACTTTCAATTCTAGTACAAGTTTGCATTTAATTTACCACTCCCTCACTTGTGCTTTTCCTCCACAATTTAGATTTCTAATAGGAAATGTGGATTTTTCGTGAATAAATCTCCAATTCTTTTTTAATTTTCGATTAATTTATTGGTTATTATGTATTTGCATAAAGATAATAATTAATATTTACTAATTATAAATTCTTAATAGAGGCATTTTTGCCGATATAATAAGCCATCAGAAATAGTCGGGCTTTTGACTGACTACGCTTTCTAAAGCTTTTTTTTCAAATTTTCCTTTCATTCGACTATTTTTATGAAGATATACAAAATAAGATAAGAAAAAACTTGCTCTCATCTCAAAACATGTGTAATCCCCCAATTTTTAGGCAATTCATCAGAAAAAGGCGGGAATGTTCTCTCTTCTCCTTTTTCTTTATTGTTCTTATTAGATATAGAAATGAGCAGCTAAAAACTCTTCTATACACGCAATTCCTTTCGCGATAAAAAGACAAAACTTTTTATATAAATTTGTGGAGATTTTGCGCGCTGATTAAAAGCAACCATTAAAATCCCCAGATCAAAAAATTAAAAAGGATGTTAAATAAAAATATATGGGAAATGTTAAAATTTAAATAAAAATTCTTAAATATTTTTTATGGAAAATGAACAGAAAAAAATAAAAATCCTCCAAAAAATGATCGACATCAAAAAAGTGAAAGCGCGCAGCATAAACTAGTGTAAGGCGCCAATGTGTGCAAATGAAGGAGAAAAAGAAAAGGATGAAAACGAATTGGAGCGAATAAACTATCTCCCCCAAATGCAGGCGAAAGAGGCAATTACTTATCCTCATTTGGTACGGATCTATTAAAAAATAAGGATATACATATATCCACTTTGTGCTTTTTTTGAACGATTCTTCACAAGCAATGAAAGGATTTTAGTTCGTTTTAATTGATTTTTGAATCTGTTTGGTTGTGAGAATGGGGGAGTTAATTGTAAATAAAAGGAAACGACGTGAAAAATAAGAATGGCAAAAATTAATTTAAAATCTTAATTAACCCGACCCATTTACAAGAGGAATTGTTGGTAATTTAAATGAATTTTCCACAAAAGATGATTGAAAAAGAATTCCCCATTAAACAATTAAAATACCAATTTTCAAAAAATATTTTTCACCAATTTTTTATCTCAACACTAACACAACAAATAACAAAATTAAACCAACATTATCGATCCATTTTCCCAATCATTTAATAAACTTTTTATGTTTCCAACTCATCAATAGAGACGCTGAGGCGGCCCCATTGTAGACTTGATGTGAAGCGAGCGAACATTCTGCCAGTTCTTCTTCAGCAAAGAGACAAGAAAGTTTATTCCGAGAGAAATGTTTGAAACTAATTCTTCTTGAGTCATCTCAACATGTCCAATTGCTACAGCCAAGCAGGTAACCTTTAAAAAACAATTTCTTATTCAAATTTATTCACAAAAACCTTTTTCATCTGAAATTTAACGGTTGCCTTAATCTCATCAACTTTAACTGTCAAATTATCATTATGCGTCACCACAGACGGGAATTTTCCAGCTTTGTTAAGCCCCGGACCGAGAATACGCGGAATCTGCCTAAAGTTAAAAAATAATTTTTACAAGGTAAAAAACAAACTTGATAAGAGATTCCGAGGCCAGGAAGGCGTTATAACGCTTACAAAGTCCTTTAATAAGTTTCGCATCCTTATTCAGCTTTTTCAAATCATCAGCCGTCATACAAGGAAGACTAAAATTTACTTATATACCAAGCCTTCTTAACAAAAGCAAACCCATTAGCGTTAGCCTCATCGCAGTGCTTCTGATCACCAAGAATACAAACCTTTACATGCGGGCGTGGAATGTATTTGAGTCTAACCAATGAGAAATTAAAGAAAATCTATTGTTATTAAAAACCTGACAGTTCCACTAAAACGCTTATCCTTCTTTGGATCATAATTTTTCAGTCCAATCTGAAGCTCTACAGTCTCTCGAAACTTACGCTTCTTTTCTGTTGACTTCTTCAAAAGCTCAGCTACACACTCGTTTAGAGTTTCACGAGAGATTTTGCTACTTCCAGACATATCGGTAGTTTCTCAGTAAATATTTAATGCTAAAATGAAATGTAACTATTAAAGAGTAAAAACAATCATTAAATATCAATTAACGTGTAAAATCAACAACATATTTAAAGAATACTAAAATTTAAACAAATTTATCAAAGGAATCATAAATTACATAGGTTATGTGAATTAGAATCACAGAGAGCACTTCAATTAAACTTGAAGGTCCAAACTTTCTTTAGAACAAAAAATATTATAAAAGAAACCCCCACTCACAGTCAATTTCATTATTTGATCTACAATTAATGTGAAAAAAAAACAAAAAAAATTCAATAATTGTAGACCTAATATGAAAAAAGAAAACCGGTATGAAATATAAAATTAGAAACTACAATTTTTCTTTTGAATTTAATACACCTCAAATACATCCACATCGCTCAAATCATCGGATACCTGTAAAAATTTAAATAAAAACACTCAAAATGAAAATCACCTAGAAATGACATTTATTGTTTGCGAGGCTGGAATTGACGGTGACATTGCATTTTGGCAGTATTGCCGCGATTCGAAGCGTGTATTTCATGAGAGGGATGCGGCTTCTCGTGGAAAGCACGGATAGCCTCAGGTGGAAAGTCACGATTGGTCTAAAAAATAGGAATAAAAATTAAAAATTGGCTAAAACTTGTTCAGCTAGATCGGTATAAGCAAGAACATTGGTAGCTTGGCGTTTGTTAGCTTCATCAGAAAGACGTGACTCTTCCGAAGCATTAGATTCGGTTGGAGAACCAGACTTCTCTGCAGACATTTCCTTCTCATCGGATAGATTACGCTCTTTGCGCGCAATTCGGATTCCACCAGAAATTTTTTCGGCTGGTGGATGGCCTCCTTTAAGTTGGGGTACTTCAGTTTCAATGGTTGTCATATTATAAGTACTCTAATCTAAAAAAATGATCATTGTATTGTATTAATTGGATTTTTTGTAATCCAATTAAATAAAACAAAGTTTAAAATATTATTTGATTGCTAAAAAGAGTAATGAACTCTATATAGTAAAACGCTGATTGTGAGTGAGAATTATTGATAGATGCCTCGCGTAGTGAACGACATATCGACTTTTTCTTAAGGAAAAAAAGTCGTTTTAAAAAAATCTACAATTATTCGCGAACGACTTTTTTTAATAAACAAAACGCCAGAACTACGTAAATATCGATGTTTTACGCCAAACGATTGCGAAACGACTTTTTTGTATCTCTTTTTCTCTAATTTTTCATTATATTTCCTTTCTCTTTTTCTATTAATTTTCGTCTCTCTTGTTTTGTGCAGTCCATTTTTCTTGGAATCCAAAAACTTTGTAGGGCCATAACTTCCTTTATTTTTGTCTGTTCGAATTATTTTTGGCACCATTCGAAACAGCTCGAAAAGCTCCATCGAATGAAACATCAAACTTACAAAACATACCAATTTTGTATGTTTTGAATAATTAAAAGAAAACAATAGAAAAAAACGAAGAATTGATAAAAAAAAATTATCATCTACTTGATTTGGGGTCGCTTTAGTATATTCCCACAGATTTTCCAGCGAAGATTCTGTTGAACATTTTCTAAAGAACATTTTCAAATGTAGTCGAATCTTGACTCTAGGCTTTTCTTGGGCTTTTTCGGGCATAGGGGGAAGTTAAAAACAAAATTTCAATAAAAAAATGAGACAAATAAACAAAAATTTATCAAAAAAACTAAAAGCCAATGTCTCGTTTCACTCATTAGATTTGTGGCCCTAAAGAGGGCCGTTTGGGTTGTGGCTGTTGTGACGAAATTCCAACATCTTCTATTCCATTAAGACTGCAATTCAAAGGTTGCCAGGCAGAATCACTTCAACAGCAAATCGCCCGAGCACGTCGTTGTAACACTTAGAAAAATGAATTAAAAAATTGAAAAAATTTTAAAAAATTCCAAAAAAATAAGATTTAAAAAACAACCTCTCCTATTGTTTCCCCATTGTTGCAGCCGTAGGATGGAGTTCGACACACATCAAACAAGTTTTGATTAAACATAAAAAAGAAAAAATTTAGGAATGAAAAAAATTTAGCAACTAATTCTAGGATCAATGAAATCTGACCAATATTCAGATTTCTCAATATTCGGATACAGATCACTGAATATTGAGAAACCTTAGGGGCGGTTTTTTGGAGTAAAAAAGTTTATACAAACGATAGCTCATTCAAGTTTCAGGGTGCGAAATTCGGTTCGGGAAGTGTAATTTAACCCGGAAAGTAATTTACCCACAAATTATAATGCACCGAAAAACAAAATAACCTGATAATGGTTGCTGCTCCAAATGTCGTTGATGGTAAGTGTTTGCTTCTGAAAATTCACTACTACCATTAACAATAAGACTTCCAAATGTTGTACTAGGAGGCTAATGAGACAGGCATTAATTCTACAGCTTCAAAATTTCAATTTTTCTGCAATTTTCCTTCAAATTTCCTTTCCTACCTCCAAAGCCTTAAAAAAACTTTTGTAACCCCTAAAAATAAAAAAAATGAAATCCAATTTACAAAAAACCTCCTTACAAATTGAGAGACCGCACTGAACGAAAATTAATAGAAAAAGAGAAAGGAAATATAATGTGAAATTAGAGAAAAAGAGACACAAAAAAGTCGTTTCGCAATCGTTTGGCGCAAAACATCGATATTTACGTAGTTCTGGCGTTTTGTATTAAAAAAAAGTCGTTCGCGAATAAAAGTAGTTATTCGCCGCGAATCGACGAAAACGTAGATACAGTGGTGGAAAAAAGTATGGAAGCAAGAGCTTAAAAAGTAAACTTCGTTAAATTCCTCGACGTACGAACCCTAAATCATTTTTTGTCTACTATAAATTTTAAAGTCCTATCGATTACCTCTAAAATGAGTATAAATAGAAACCACTTTTATCGAGTATTTATCTTTTTATAATTGGCTAAAGTAAACAATGTAAATTTTGCGCGGAAAAAAGTATGGAAGCAAAAAAATTTTACGTTCTAAAACAAGTCGAAAAAATTTTAAAAATTTTTTATAAACATTTCCATTGATATTGAATGGAATTATAGAAAAAAAGAAGTCTGTACTTGCTTTCTTCATCGAGATCTCAAATCTCAAAAATCACTGGGAAATCGGGGTACAGTACTTTAAAAATTATTTTAGCTCCCTGAGACTTGTATAAAAAATTTCTTTTAGACCTATCTGAAAGCCCTTAAAATCTGCTACAAAATATGGTTGGTTTCATATTTGTACAAAAATTTGTCTAGGAGATAAGGAGGGAAACATTTCATTATGAGCCGAAATCACTCAAAATACCCTATAAAATGCTTATTTTAAGTTTTAAGTATTTCGTCCCTCCTTATCTCCTAGACAAATTTTTGTACAAATATGAAACCAACCATATTTTGTAGCAGATTTTAAGGGCTTTCAGATAGGTCTAAAAGAAATTTTTTATACAAGTCTCAGGGAGCTAAAATAATTTTTAAAGTACTGTACCCCGATTTCCCAGTGATTTTTGAGATTTGAGATCTCGATGAAGAAAGCAAGTACAGACTTCTTTTTTTCTATAATTCCATTCAATATCAATGGAAATGTTTATAAAAAATTTTTAAAATTTTTTCGACTTGTTTTAGAACGTAAAATTTTTTTGCTTCCATACTTTTTTCCGCGCAAAATTTACATTGTTTACTTTAGCCAATTATAAAAAGATAAATACTCGATAAAAGTGGTTTCTATTTATACTCATTTTAGAGGTAATCGATAGGACTTTAAAATTTATAGTAGACAAAAAATGATTTAGGGTTCGTACGTCGAGGAATTTAACGAAGTTTACTTTTTAAGCTCTTGCTTCCATACTTTTTTCCACCACTGTATGTCGTTCACTAGCCTCGCGTGCGTTAAAAAACTAATAAAATAACGTGGCTAGGGTCCAAGCCAAAAGAGTCTGAAAGTTTTGTTTCTTTATTCGTCAAATCAACGTAATTGAACAGGATTTGGACTAAAGCAATCCTATTGGAGTCGACGAGATGCTTGTATAAAACCCTGCTCATCGCGCAGGGGTTTTGTCTGTATCTTGGCCCCAAAGTTAAGACCGGGGGTTGAATTGTCATTCGACTCTGCTCGGCGAGCTCTTTGACATATCGCTTGTCCGAATCGGTTCCGCGACATATGGCGGAATTTTTCCCTGCTTTAATTAATTGTTGCGGCGCTGTATAATTTAAATTAACATTGAAATAAAAAAATATAAGTAAATTAATGTATTAAAAACCATTTCATTTAAAAATTAAAACAATAAATTAAGTGTTCTTATCCAGCTCAATGGGTGATATATTAAAGTAAAAAATTGTTGAAAATAAAAAAATAAAAATACATATACATATTAAAAACATGGCAGAAAATTAAGGGATTGCGTGAAAATAATCTTTAGTTGCTCACTCAGAGCTTACATTAGAAAAAAAGTTTTTAAAGGGAAAAAGAGGTAAAAAACATTTAACATGTCTACATAATTCAACATTTCTTTTTATCAAAATTAAGGTTCTTAGCTCCATCAATTGTTTTGCCCATTGTCGATAATAAATTATATCCAGGTGGTTCAGGTGCTTCTGCCTCATAAGCATTCCCTTGGTTTCTTTTAATTCCTGTAGTGTCTTCAAAAAGATATTCTCTAAGCTTCCAAAGTGCCCGAACAATTTCATCTTCTTTATAACTTGAACCATTTGAAGAGTGCTAAAAATGACAAAAATTGGAAAAAGATTGAATTTAAGACTAAAGCAAACCCTAATCCAATCATAAGGCAACCGCTTATGTTCTGGCACAACAGTATTTCTTGCCGAGGCAGTTAAAGTCTTGTCCCATTTGCTTACATTGCGCTGGTGTCTGCCAGCTCCCGAATTATGGATTGACTCGAGATACCTTAAATTTGGTTTACAATGAGATTGGACGACAAAATTACCTAATATATGCTTCAGAGTGAACAACTCGCCGCACCTGTACGGACGTCGAAGGAGAGACGAAAGATGGTTCCGACAATGCTTGCTGCTTTGATGTCGTGGAAATAACAGACCTGCCAGGATCCGTATTTTGAATTTCAGAAGGAAATGCAAGCGAAGTAGATGGTGTATCGGCCAAACGATGTTGGTTGACTGAAGAGGCAGAAGACTGATCAAAATGAGTATAGTGTTGGGGACTCTGATAACTTTGTATAACATTTGTTGTTACATTCTGCACTGCAGAACCAGACGAGGATTGTATAGGAGGTGGTGTTGAAGATAAACCTTGAAAGATAAAAAGTCAAAAAATTCTTCATCATAATTATCAGCACCTTGGTTATATTGTTGAAAAGCAGGCGTATTGGACGAGGAATGAGAGGGCACAGTCGAATGAAGAGCCGGACTATGATGATATTTTTGTTGAATAGACGTTACATTTGTATTCGAATAAGACTGCGTGCTACTAGCTGGCTGAGCTATTTGTTGTGTATAATGTTGTTGAGTTGATTGTGTGTGCACCACAATCTGATGTTGTTGTTGTGGTCCAGTGTATCCAGGAGGAAGAATAATCGTTTGGGCATTGCTTGGAATATAAACAGTGACACCATTCACAATAATTGCTTGTTGGCCTGGCGGTATATACTTAAAAGTTGAACAAAAAATTGATAGGTAAAAATTTTAATTAATATCCTACCACTGTTTGCTGGGTTATATTTTGTTGATTCGAAGTCTGCTGATTTCGCTGATTTTGAGATTGTTGTTGTATAGAATAATTGTATGTAGATGTACCAGAATTGCTGTAAGTACTGTTGACCGAGGGTGAAGGTAATGCACCATTCAACAATGCAGAAGTGCTTCCTGCCCTAGGAGTTGAAGAAACTGAGGAGGAAGTTACAGGCATATTTTGAATTGAAGTTCCAGTAACATTGTGTGAATGATGGTGACTACCTAAATGAATAAATGGATTGTTTAGAATTTCTAATTATTTACCATTCCCCCGTCGCTTAATTGCTCCAAGGTGAGATAAAGCATTGTTATCCGTTCCAAAAGAAAGTGGAGTCGCAACTTCACAGGCCACAGGATTTGCAGGAACGTCTCCATAAGGATAATGTACAAAATGGCCATGGGTCTCATTTAAATTGTTATTATGTCCCCCTTTTGTGTAGTGATGAGAACCGCCATTTGAAGTGGACGGAAAAGAGGAAATTTCTTGCTTCACAGGAGTGTAAACAAAAAAGTTTCTAAAAGAGATGTTAAAAGAAAATTCTTGTTTTTTTCTTACTTTGCCCTTTGATTTGGAAATACCAAACGCATTGCTGAAGCCAAATGTTTTTCTTTCAGATGCCTGTTTAATCTATTCAATGAAGGGAATGGTTTTCCTTCTTTACGATATTTTAGACAGGAATTCCATAAACAAGCAAATTGAGTGTCATTATCTGTGAATTTAATTTGAAAATTAATTTTAATAAAAAAGAACATTTAAACCTAATTTAGAGGTGTGGGAAGTACGGATATGTTCGTAAAGTCCGTCCTGAGTATCAAATTGAAAATCACATTGTTGCCAGCGGCAGCAATAAATACGAATTTGTCCTGGCTGAAAAAGAGGTTTTTTAAAAAAAAACAAATCTTCACCTGCGGTAATTTACTGTTTGGTGTCAACAATTCTGCCTTCGCACGTTCAGCAGCAATGAATTGAGCACGACTCTCATAATCACGTTTATCTTCATCTGAGAGACGTTTCCATTCAATTCCAACAATTTTTGAAACTTCTCCAAAGCCAGCCAAAGGGTTTTCATTCATAACACGTTTACGGACTTCAGCAGAAAATAGAATATAACCACTCTTCGATTTTGCATTTAATTTTGGTTGTGTAGCAAGCCACGAATTATTGTTGTTCTTAAAATAAACAAATAAAAAAAAAGACAAAAAAATTCACCTTTGCATTCGAAGCACTTCTACCACCTCTAAAACTGTTCGACGATATAATATCTGGGGGACTATTTGAAGGAAATGTAAATGAACGAGATGTAATTGCAGGCTCAGTGAAAGAATTAATGTTTGCTTCTTGTTTAATATTTGTGCCGGAAATTGATTTGTTGAACTGTCCACCAACACTATTATCATGCATTTGCCAAGTATTTGTAGTATTAGAAGTAGAAGGCGCTTTACTGCCTGATAAATTGTTTGCCAAAGACAATGAATTTTCCACTTGGTTACTTCGATTAACATCGGCAACATTTCTATTTAGACTGAAACTGTCAGTAGATAATTGGCGATTGTAAGAGAATCGTTCATCTAATTCATCAACTTGGCCATCTTCAATCACCTCTTCTCCCCCATCGAGATCCACCTCCATGTGCTTTGTCTTCCCATAGTTGATATCATCCTCGCCGTCATTTAAACCCGAAGAATGTGGCAATTGACTTGTATACTCAATAAGCCTTGAATGATTGGAAGAAAATATCCTATTTGTTTCAGTGCTCAGCTCTCTAAAATAAATAGTCTTAAACACTGACGACAAAAATGAAAACTAGTACGAGAAAAAGGAAAAAAATTTAATATAAAAGAATGGAAGAAGTCATGGATGTGCGCTAATATTTGTGGCTTTTAAGTTCTTAAAGGAAATTAACGCACAAGATGGTGGCGCACATCCTCATCCCTGTTCTCTTCTTATTTAATTCATACTCTAGTTGTACCCCTTTTCTTCTTCATTCCCTCTTGATTACGTCACTAGTGTCCAAGCTTAACAAAGGGTATTTCAAACGAACGCCCCCCTCCCCTAAAGCTTTTTATGTCGACCTGTGTGAAATAGGTATTGCTGGCTCACTGTTGGAATTCATGCTCTTGAAAAGATTTATTTTATATTTCAGTAGATTAAAATTTAACAAAAAATAACTTCCATTACAAGTTGTTTAAAGTTAAAAAATGTCATTTTTTAATTAAAAATTAATTTTATTAAATTTCTGAAGTAAAATTAAAATTTAATTTTAATTCGTATTTATAAATAAGAGGGCATCCTTGATAATTATTTGCAAAAATTTTAAATGGTAGTGTTGAAAATAAATAAGATTTGTTAAAAAATTTTGTTTTTACAAAATAAAAAAGTTCCGTCAGTATTTTTTGACTTAAGAAAAGAAAAGACCGTAATACATATAGACAATAACAATATGCATACTGTGTAGAAAAGGACTAATTTTAGATGCTGACAAAGAAAATCAGCACTTTCAAAAATCAGCTATAGGTATGTCTGGCATCCCCTATAAATATTAACTATGAAAAGGGTTAGAATAGACAGCTAGGCTGGCCATCCTTCCCATTCAATTTTTACTATTGGTTGCTCGATAAAAGGAAAATGAAATGGGAAAACACTCAATGATAGCGCCCTTGCATGCTTTGCATTTCCGTTCCGAGTAGCGCAGTATCTAATGGTTCGCGGAGAAGGAAGCGGTGAGGTAACGCAAGCTTAGAGCGCTCAGAGGTTCAAGAAGCCGCCTAGTAATACTGCACTAGTATCCAAAACATAGAAAAGAAAATGAGCGATAGGCATCTACACAGCTTGCAGATTTACTATTACTATGTCGTTAACTCTTCGCTTGAAAAAGAAAGGAGAAATACATATTTAAGCGGCGGACTGCGACTGCTGCGTTTATCGACAAACTATGGCTACACTACTGTTTACTGAACGTCTCTTCATTCGGTGAACTCTCTTCTTCATTGGTAAAAATGACATACTCAAAGCGACAACATGAGAATGCCAGTGTACAAAACGTCAACGTAAAAATACAAATAGACAAAACAAAGCATGAAAGTGCCTAAAGACTAGGGCTGCAAAAACCGATTAACCGTACGGTTACGTTAACCGGGTGTTTTTGCTAGTTACGGATACGGGTCTCAAAACAGACTAAACTGTTATCCGGGTGTTCTAACCACCGGCTATTCCGGTTTTATTAACCGGTTTTTAACAACCCTAAATATAACATTTTTAGTAAAATTTTCCTTTTTCAAGTAAAAGGGAAACATTTATAATTTATCTCAGCCTTCTTCTTTTGTTGATATGTGGTTGAGTGGTTAAGTCGGCTGGCTTCACTCATCTTGATATTTTTATAGGGATGGGTTCGAATCCAGGAATGGAAATGATGCTTAAAAAATTTTTCTTCGCAAAAATAAATGTTTTTAAACTTTGATTATAAATTATTAAATAAACTTGAAAAACATTAAAAATCTTAATTTAGTCATGGATTTTCCAAAATCTGTCTTCTGGTCTTCCAAAATTATCATAATTTTCGCCTACGGCGCAAGAAAGGGCAATAACTGCCTTTGTCTAACTCTACCATTTATTACAATGTAACAAATTTTAATTAAAATAAATGAAAGCGATTGTTTTTCTGATATTTAAACAGTGGATTAAATGTTCAATTTTAACCTTTGTGCAGACGTACAAAATTTTAAAACAAGTAAAATACAAAAGTATTCGGTGATGACCACAATTACGGGCGCATTTTAAATTTCAAATAGTCTAAACTTTGGAGTGCGAATCATAAATTTGTTACCGTAATTATGATCGTACCGAATATATTTAAATGGCAGAACTGAATGCTTAGAATATTATCTCACAATCAATCAGATAAGGAAAACTAAACATCGGAGATAACAAAATTACCTCAACGAGATTTCATTGAATAATTTAATTTTAAAAAGATCCTTTTCACTCAAAATATGAGGACTTGAAAAGTACCAATTATTATACTAATTGCCAATCTCCGACTTTCATTATAAAGGATATTGTGCAGGAGGTGAAGAAAGATAATGGGATACAATTCAAGTATTTTTGTTGGCTGTATTGGCGTTTTTTGGTGGTCTTCCTTTTCGTACCGCCGGCACCGAAGGCGGGTCAGAATCTGTCTGATTGGGAGTTCCTTGACTTCTTGCAATTCCAGTAGTATCTTCTATTATATGGTCTCGAAGCTTCCAAAGTGCACGAACAACCTCATCTTCTTTATGTTTTGAGTTGTTTGAATTCTAAAAAATTAAAATAAATAAATAATAATAGACATACCCTAATCCACTCGTAGGGTAATCGTTTATGTTCTGGCACAACAGTGTTCCTTGCTGAGGCCAATAATGTTTTGTCCCATTTACTTATATTACGTTGCTGCCTACCAGATCCTGAACTGTGCATCGATTCGAGATACCTTAAATTACCAAGTCTCAATTTTTTAGAATTGTAGTATAAAAATAACCTAATATATGCTTCTGAATGGACTACTCTTCGAACATGAATTGACGTAGAAGGTGAAACAAACATGGGTTCTATAGGCATTTGTTTTGGTGTCGTTGAAACAAACATCCGGCCGGTGTCTAACAATAAGAAGTAAAGGATTTAAATTAATTCTTTTAAAAATACCCGCTAAATTTTGGTGATTAAGTGAAGTAGAAGCTGATTGATTAGGGAAAAAAGTGCTGGGTGAATATGCCCTTTGTTTGCGTTGAGAGTTTTGAAAACCATTTTCCATGATATTTTTTCCGGCGGTAGTAGAAGTAAATAAGTGAGATTGTAAAATTGGTGATTTAGCCAGAGAAGACGAACCTTAATCAAAAAATAGTTCAAAAATAGAATAAGACCTAAAATTTTGGGAACAAAAAAGCTAGATTTATCCAATCCGTCACTCTTATCTCGGTTAAAATTAATTTAGTAATTGAAATAAATTCCGTGTTGCCAAATTGAAATAAGAATAATTAATAACCTTGGTTAAAATATTTTTGAGATGATACAACCGTTGAAGGCACATTATTCCCAGTTTGCTGAGAAGATTTAGAAATCATAATTGAGTGATTAGTTGAATTCAGAAAATTATGTTGAACAGATGAGGATGTTGAAGCTGTACATGAAAAGATTTTTGGATCAGATTGTTGACCAGTTTGTTCATCAGTCTGATCTTGTTGGTGTGGCTCACTGTTGGAATGCGATAGAATAATTTTCTTTTCTGTTGAAGTAAATCCATTATGCACACGATCCCCTGAATTAGTGACTTTTTCTGAAATATTAATAAAAATAAATTTTTCGTTATTACACAAACCTTTTTTTGATGAAGATGAAATCTTGTTGATTTCATCAGAGTCAGTGTTGCAGGACAGAACATTCCCGTTACTTCTATCACTAACACTTAAGGCTTTAGCAGCTTTGAGCGTTAAATGGCGAAAACGAACTGCGGCTTGATAAATTCCTGATTCTTCAATATTATAATTCATCGCGTTATCAAACATCAGTAACAAGTCTTTTACAAGAGCATCAAGATTAGCATAATGGCCACGTTTTAATAACTTAAATTTTGAATATTAGCCCGAAATATAAATTTTTCTATACCTTATTTATCATGTAAAGAGACAATGGACGCTCTATTTCCTCGTAATAATCTGGATAGCTCCGTTTACATGGCAATTCTATGAAGTTCTATAATTTTTAATTCAATTTTAATTTATTAAAATTATTTTGTTGCCTCGCATAGAGGAACGCCATCTACTACATCATAATTACGAATGGCCCAGTATAGACGCCAACGTGGATCGTCGCTACGTTCAGAATCTTCATCTTCCTCAGAATCCTCACTAAAATCATTAACCTCTGATTCTATTGAATTTAAAAGCTCATCAATTATTTCAGCGTTACGAGAAATTCTAAAAATAAATTAAATATTTACTTGAACTAGAAAAATTTAAAAGAGGTAGATCTAGTAATTAAATTTTATTAAAACTTACACTCTGGGACTGAAACGACGTGCTTCAGCCAACTCGACAGATCTATGTTTGAAATGTCGCAGCAGAGTATTTGCATCCTTATGCACCTTTAAAATGACTGGTAAAATTAAAACAAAACAAAATTAGACTGTTGAGCCAGGTTCATTAAAATCACGCGCATTTTTGCACATTAGTTGAACATCATCTTTCAAGGCCTCCCATGTCTGGTATTTGCCTGCACGAACATTTTCAGAAATTTTCCGAATATCAATTGGTTTTTTAATGTGTTCATAGTAGAGAGGAAACTCCTTAAATTGTGTATTATATAAAATTGTTAATTTGAAAAAAACCTGTGGAGTTGGTAAAACACGGAATGGAGGAGAAATAACACGATTGTCCTTATCTGCTAACGTTAGCATTGACACATAAAAAATAAAAAATTTTATAGTTTATTTAGTAAAAGTAAAAAAATAATGTGAATAAAGTTTGGCCTACAATAACTTCCAAAAATTAAAAAAAACTCACGATTGCGGCCTCAAGTCTCCACTGTTCAATTTGATCTGTTACTGGCGTCAGAGAACTAAAAAAGACATTATTTTGAAAGGGATTTTGAGTTTAGAACAGCATTTTTAAATGACTTGTGTACTTTACACCCTTCATTAGGGAATATTATTCCGATGCGGCAAAAGTACTTCCGCGGCCCCATAATATTTCGGCCAAATAATCAAAAGTGAGACAAGGTTTTTGTACCTATCGACTCAACACGCCTCAGCCTACATAAACCAGAAAAAATTATAAATGAAGCGTTTTTTCCTATAATATTATTCCGAAAAAGACGTAAAATGAGGTAAAATATAAAAATTTTAATGATTTATACCGTTTGGTTGCGCTTGAATTGCTACGAGCTCGACGTTGCCTTTTCTGACGTAATCCTCTCATGACTCCAATTCGCTATACAATGATTCCAAAAGAAATAAAAAAACGTGTAACAAACAAAATACAAAAGCAAAATTGATATCTAAAAATGTAAAAGTTGATTAAAAACCGGCCTAACTGCTAAATATGCACAGCTTACAATGATCGAAATCCGCAAAAAAATATCAATACCAGAACGGACTTATTGTGTTGGTTTAGTCCCAGTTGAGTCCTGGCTTTAACTTTTAAAATACCAGAGAGGCAGAGAAGAGAAAATAGTATAGAGCTCTAAAATAATCACACAGTATGCCAAAAAATGTTTCGCAATGAAATGTAGTGGTGTAAGAAAAAATGTGTTCAAAAAATAATTTTATTTCTGTCGAGAATTCTAGATCTTCAAAAATGGAGAAAACAGAGTTCAATAGGGTTACAATGCCTACGGGGTGAAAATTCTGGAAAACATCCTTTTGCTTTGGGTTAAATGACGCTCTTTTTTTTCAAATTTTAATTTTTGTCATTCTGTTTATAAATTTGATATTTTATCCCACTAAAAAAGAGCGTTGTGAGAGACGTCAGAGAAATTTCCTTTAAAAGGAGCATTTAGGTCTTAATATTTTTGCATTGCCCTTCTACTTGTTCGTGTCTGATAAATTCGACAGTGACTAAATTCGACAGTGGCTAATTTCGACAGTGAAATTCGCCAGTGACTAAACTCGACAGCGACTAAATTCGACAGTGATTAATTTCGACAGCGACTAAATTCGACAGTAAAGCCTAATTTTTAAAAAGAGTGAGTACTTAGAGAAAAAAAGTGAAATTTTCGTTGAAGGTAGATTCAAAGTCGCCGATTCAGCATCCCGTGTTGCTGCGAAACAGGCTAGTTGAGCGCGGTTAAGTGAGTGCCAACGAGCTTTAATCGACTAGAATTTTTTAAGCTATGATCCAATTCGAGTAAATAATGTCGATTCGAAAGCCCTTGATAAGCGACATCTTTTTTCCAAATGATTGGATCAAATCTGATCAGTCATTAAAAAATTATAACGCGATAAATGTGAAAAATGCCAAATAATTGCGTCTTTCGGTTCGTAGTTTTTATTTAGTGATTAGGCTTGATCTTTCTAGTTGAAAAAATGATATCCCCTATTGAGATCTCTCTAAATTACTGAAAATTTTTTATTTTTTTCTCTAAGTACTCACTCTTTTTAAAAATTAGGCTTTACTGTCGAATTTAGTCGCTGTCGAAATTAATCACTGTCGAAAATCGAGGAAAACGGTGAAAAAAGAAAAAATAGTTCACTATCGAAATTAGTCGCTGTCGAGTTTAGTCACTGGCGAATTTCACTGTCGAAATTAGCCACTGTCGAATTTAGTCACTGTCGAAATTATATAGCACCCTACTTGTTGATGGGGAACTTTCTCGCCCGTTTTTGCAGTATTATTAGCGTGAATGCTTTTATTGTTTTCCTATTTTTTCTAAATTAATTATTTTCTAGTTAGGATTAATAATTTCGTTTTCTAAAAATGAGTGAAGAATTTCGGCAGGAAATGCCGCCAGCTGGTGGATATCGGCCGTTCAATTATAATAGAACATATGCAAAAACTTTATGGGGACGTATGAAATTTTTGTAATTTTTTTATCCAAACATTTTTAGCTGGTCTTTTTGTGGCGTTTAATCTTGCAACAGCCGTTACTGGATATTTCTATAATATGAAGGATTATCGACACAGGAGGCTGTAATTTTGATTTATAATTATATATTGTTAAACTATATAATTAAGCGCAATTTATTTTGAAGACAAGGATTTGGTGAATGCAATGGAACCATTTTTACTTGCTGAGCGTGATCGAATGTAGTTAATTTTTATTTTATAAAATATATTTTTCTGTACAGTGTACTTCGAATAATGAAGAAGAATCAAGAGTTGGAGAAGGATTTGATGAAGGAGGTTCCAGGATGGAAAGTTGGAACGTGAGCTTAATAAGTTGATAAATTTTAAAAAAAAATTTAAAATTTTAGGTGGTATGGTGAACCTATCTATTTTACGCTTGGTGATCAATGGATTGAGCCGACTGCTCTGGTATTTTTTCTTTTATTGAACTAAAAATAAGAATGAATGTTTAGGAAGCCAATATACATTTGAAATTTGATGATTGGCACAAAAATGGTTATTGGCGCCAGGAAGGACCTTGGCCAACTAGGCCGTGGATGTTTTAGTCTTGTTAAACATATGAAGAAATTTTTGTTTTGTATAAGATTTAAAGTGTAATAAAATTGATTTAGGCTTTGAAAATTCTTGGGTGAAATAGTTCTTTTTTCTAATATACCGAACATATCTAGAATTTTATATAACGATAACACACAAAATAGGACGTATACAGAGTACAAAATATGATTTTTTAAATTTTATGTTCTACTATTCCAACCATTTTTGAACCTAGTCACTTCTTGCCCTTCTCTTCTTCAGACATGAGCTTCTCATAGCCGACTCCAGGCACCCAGTTCGTGTAGGGGTTATGGAAGAAGGACTAAAATAGTTTGACCCTATATGAAAAGAAGGGCGCATTCATTCTTTCCTTAATTTGTAAATAATGGTCACTTTTCTTCCTTGCTCTTTTCCATTTTTTTGCCCGTGGCATATTCAAATGAGATTAAGGAAGATTGACCATTTTTAAAGAAGGAAAAAATAATGAAAGATGGCCCTCTCTTCATATAGGGTCAGAAGTTTTATTACACATGTTATTTATTTTAAACTTACTTTGTTTCCATCACCCCACGGAAATGGCTAAAATGAAAAAAAATAATTGTATAAACAATTTAAAATGTCATACATGAGCACGTTTTGCCAAGTACGGGTAAGGGATGTAGTCCTCTTGCTTCCTATGCTTCAGATGCTCAATCTCTTCCAGATAATGCTGGTACGAATAGCTTAAGATTTAAATTTCATAAATTAAATGTCTTCTCAAGCTTACTAGGCAGAAGCGATCATACTTGGAACCATCACAATGAAGAATACCTTCTTCCAAAAGTCAGCGATTTTTGGAGCCTTCTTTAACCCAATCTTCTAAATTTTAAAAATACCTTTTAAATTCCTTCCACAACTTACAAGATTGTGCGAATAATTCTCAACATCATGCTTAACAAAGTGAGGTCCACCACTGCTATGACGAACAACATCAAGTCTCTTGTAGGCGAAATTTAATGCCCGATATGGCGACCCATTGCAGAATATTGGACGGGAAAAAACACTCATTATATCAAGTTTTGTTCTCTAAACATTATAAAATATACGAAGTAATAAAAATTAAATAAAAATTATGAAAGTATCGCTACAATTTAGTTACAAAAAAGTCAAATTTGCCTTTTATAGTGTTTATATCTGGCAAATTTTAAATTATACAAAAAAAAATGTCAAAAATGGTCAGTCATCAATTCCTTCTGATTTCATTCCACCATGCATCACTGAAAAAAGTTTATCTAGCCATTTGCTCGGTTCTGTTAGAGCAGCTCGAAAATAGCATATCTCTAGCCTAGAAAGATTGTTCAGCTGTGCATTTGCGTGAATGACAGCTTTGTCAGAAAAAATGTCGTCCTTCTCCTAAAAAATATTTAAAATCTTTAATCGAAGATTCGAAAAAAAACCTTTTGAAATTGCTCCATAAATTTGATTATAGAAGTTCGCATTTTTGCTTCCCTTTTGTCTTGTAGGTCTCTAACAAGCATCTTTAACTGTTCAACATTTTCCAAATCAGAGTAAGCATTTGTAACTAAAATGTGAGCAATTTCAAAAAAGCAATTGGGTAAAGGCGAGAATGTTGTCCTCTCTGTTTCCCCCACAACTAGCTTTTTTAATTCATCAACTTTTAGCCATTCTGGGGGCTTAAATTTAAATAAATGTTGGAGAACAAATAGGGGGCCTACCACAATTTTACATTTATGTTTATACTTCAATTGCAATGCAAACCACAAAGGAACAGTTACAGGCGATCCAGCTTCAAATGGACCAAAATCCCCAGAAATTAAATGAATTGTACGTTCATTAAAATTTGGCAATATCTGAAGGAATTAAAAATAATAACGAACAAGATATGAACAGAAAACCTGAATTATTTCATTTTCAGCAATAAACTCACACACTGAAGGATCCATTGTTTTCATAGTACAATTATGAAAAAGTGAGAGACGATTCAGGGATAGAGGACGATTCAGTTTTTTCAATTTTTCTCTCTAGCCACTCAAATGGCCCGTTCTTAACAGATGAAAATTGAGTCTTGATTTTGGCTTCATCATTAGTTCTTGTGCCTATTTTTCATTAAACAACACAATCGTAAATCAAACGTTAGTGAAATTACAGTCTTTTCTCTATTAGAATGCCACTCTCCAGTTGAATGCCAGTCGGTACTTCTTATTGTCAGTTCTGCCACCTCCCACATATTCGCAGGTTATATAGAAAGGAGAAAGTCTGACCATTTTGCACCTATGAAGGAAATATATAAAATAAATCGTGCGAATATATGAGAGGGGTGTGGCAGAACCGAAAAGTACCCGGACCCGTCGATCTCAAATGTCTTTAAAAGAAAAGTCCCATTTGAGCCGCCACATGCGAAAATTTACCGGGCACCAACAACCCTAGTCAAAAACTTTTATTTTTTCTTGTAATTTTTATGGGTGATACTTACAGCAGACATTCAATCTTTAACCCTAACGTTTCTTTTATTTTTGCTTTCTTCATAAATAATTTCAAGCATTTTTATATAGTAGATAGACAATAAAATTGCTCGGCTGGCAAGCGAACACATACACGCCTATGCATATAGATAACTTTTATTTTGTTTATGTATGTATGTGTTAGCTCGACTTAAAAAAATTTACATTCATCATCCCTAAATATTACAGTCAATGCTTTAAATTCTAATGTTAACATACCATAACCCCAATACTTGATTTCTGAATATTTTAATATTAATTTTTTCCATTAGATACCTACATACTAATTACTCAAAATTTTGACTTTTTTCTTTAATCTGTTCAATTTCTAAAACAAAATTTTAACTTTCTGGTCTTCATTTGACATATTCACTAGTTATTGTTAAGGAATATCTTTCCTCTATTCCCTACATTCTTTGATCATCCTTTGTTTTGAATAGCTTCTACACTTTATCTATTTTTTATAACATAAATCTAGCCACTAAGTTGTTTTCTTCTCGACAGTATGTCCGTAGACGTATCTAAGCGTACGAACATTTTTGGTTGCGATGGTAATTTTCAAAAAATGTATAGCAAAACATACACATGTATATGCGCCGAAATGTAAAAAAAAGACGCGTGCGACACTTACACCTCCTAGTTCTCTTTTTACATGTATATGTTATTTGAAGTAAATACTGTTGGCAGACAGACTTATGAACACATGCTGTCGCGTTTATCGAGCTGACATGTGGTTTACTCAATTCATCTGCCAGCTACCGTCTCGATGTAGTCTAGTTTCCCCTACCAAACAAATTGCCATTGGCAGGAGTGTCAAATAGACCCAGCCCAGGACGTCACTATAAGGAACATTTTAACTGATTTTTAAACTAAACTGATTTTCTTCTTTTTATCTATGTATGTGTCCAATTTATCGATAATTTATAGTAGCAGATAGGCTGCCTTCTTCAATGTTGTCGGTATTATCCGAAACGTATTCTAGGCTAACATTAGCAGTCACTAGCTATTAGTTGGCAGCTAACTCTCGTGAGCGTTTACTTTTTCCACTACTGTATGTATATTAATAGAATTATTGTTGCGATTCGTACATATGTATGTACGTATTATTTTGATTTATGTCAATTCTTAACATTTACAATTCTTAACTTCAATTCTTAACTTAATATGTATTTTCAATTCTTATGTAGTACCCAATAGTTATCGATTTTGTTTATTGCTATTGAGTGTTTAAGTACCTCTGTCAATTTGTTTACAATTTGGCTGGCGCAAATTTTGTTCTGGCTGTCCACGGCAGTCTTTTTTCATTTTTATCAGAAAAATGTCTAAGGTGTTTACGACAATTGAGGATGCGACGATTGCAGATATGACTATTGCTGACGACAATTCCGGATTGAAAATTTTCTTAATTTAAAAATTATTGAAATAAAATCCCGTTTTTAGTCCCGGCTGTCAGTTTCTTCTGTTGGTTTCTGAATCATTTCTAAACTGGTGCGAGACTGAAAACTTTGAAAAATTTTAAATTTTTTGAAAACTTTATATCCGTAATTGTCGTCCACAGTTTTCGTCCGGAATTGTTCCATCTGGAATTGTCGTCCGGAATATCCGTAATTGTTTATCCGTAATTGTCGTCCGCTGTCTTTAATTTGTTTGCTACCTTGCATTTATTTTAAATTCACGTTTTTTCTTCTTACTTTCTAAACAAAAACAACAGACCATTTTTATGTTAAACATAGTGTTGACTTTACATTTTTTCTCAGTAGATATGCGATAATCGATTATCTCGCGCGCTCTTAAATACGCAATTCCAAACAATTAATTAGAATATTACCAATTGAGTATTGTCACTTATTCAATCACTAATGCATATTTCCGTTTATTCTTATTTTCGGTAATAGTGAAGAATCCGGACAACTTCCCACTATGACGGGGGATGTTTTTCAACAAAGGAATAAATTATTCCAACAATCTCCTTTGTATACCTCAGTTGAGTCCCCTTGAGAGGATGGTATTGGAGATTAGCAAAGATTTAAAACGTGAAAACCCATAGGAGGGGAGTAGGCTTATTTTAGGACCATATCTCAGTCCTTAGGTACTTGCAGGATCTTTAAATTAAATTTTCGACGGAACCACAATTCGACACAATTGCCCTTTTCTGGAATTTTTACGTTTTTTAAATAGTACATATATGTACATAAATTAAGATTTTGTACAAGACTTATTTACATAAAAAAGAACAAAAACTTAAGAAAACAACGCTGGGGAGACTTAAATAACAGCTTAAAGAAAAATGAACGATAATTTACAAGAACAACAAAAAAATTCAGAATCCGATTCTAATAACAATATTTTCATTTCTATTTGTGACGAGGAGAATGAAAGAGAAAACTCTCTTGGAGAGGGAACTATACAACAAAAACAGAAACAACAACAACCCCAAATTTTGTCTACTTTAGCGACATTTGGTAGTGATACTAATGGAAACAGGAAAGAACAAATGACAAAAGAAGAATTAGAATGCATAGGTTGCCAACGAGAAACAGAAGGAACAGCAAAAACGATGCTGGCCGAAAGTATTAAGGAAATAACTCCTCAATCTGAAGAGCATGGAGCTGGAATAGAATCAGCATCGACTACTTCTGTAACCACTTCACAATTGTTGGCCGCTGCATATGCACATTTTATAGCAAAACAGTGTGAACAATCGCAGGTATTATTTTCTATGTTGTTGATTTTTATTTGTTAAATATCAGGATAATTATGATCAACACATTTTACGACAGCAACAACAAGAAATGTTGCGTCAGAATGAGAGTAATATTCGCCAGCGGGAGCATAAAGTAGCGGCTGAACTTCTTTCTAGGCATTTACAGCAACACGGTTTATTCCTACAACAACTTAAATCCCAGTTACAATTTTCGACGGCCGACACTTTCCCACCTTTGCAAACACAAACTACTTTAGGTTTCCGTGACATACTTTAAAAAAACGTGACTTATAATAACAATCATTTTTGTAGGTCTTAATTCATTGAATTCAACTTCAACAACAATGCCTGCAAATCATTCGAACACTTCCTTAGATATCGAGAAAAATTTTTTGTCCTCGTCTGCTTTGGCTGTTTCTGAACATCGTTCTAAAGGACTCGCTTCGGACCAGACTGAGAACAATACTATTGGAAACACTTCAAATAATTCAACTTTGGCATCAGAAAATCTACAGCAATTGTTGCTCGCCACAAGTTTGTTACTTCGTCAACAACAGGTACTTACATATTTCAAATTTTGGCATTACATATTTTTATAAGGCTAACAATAAGTCAACAATTACGGAAGTCACTCCTCTGTCAACTGCTGGGTCACAATCAGTCGGTATTTCCGCCTTTAATCAATTGAACGAATTACGTCAACAACTTCTTGGGATAAACTCTTCAGCTGCTAACAAAGCTGCAACCGGACGTCTACTAGAACAACTATTTGTAAATCCTTCCATTGGAAATAAATCTGCTGCTACTCAAGTGTTTACACCTCAGCAATTTCCACAAGTTTCACCACTTGCGATTGCTGAACTCTTGCGTCAACGGGCTTTAATTCAACAATCAAAACAACACCAAGCTGTCTCTCCACCGCCACCACTTGTTATTCATCGTCGGGTAAGACTTTTATAATAAATATCTTTTATGACAAATTTTTAAAGGTTGGCCGACCCCCCAAGCATACTTCAACCCTTTTTCAACCACAGCATTTGCCAGGTCTTCTTATCCCAAGTGAAACTATACAACCTAAACAAGTTCACAATCAACCGGTATCTATTTTATTTTAATTTTTATCACTTTTACTATTTTAGACACAAAAACGACCCGCACTTTGCCCTGGACGACGAGTGCCGACTAGCTCTGATCCTTGTCAAACTATTGTCACTTTTCTGCTTACCTATAACGTTGTGAGTGATTTGATTTAAATTAATCTTTAGATTAACTTCTAATTTTTAGTCACCCGACATTGACTTCTCAAGAAAGGCAATTGAGTCATTAATCAAAAGGCTTAGAGATAAGGTTTCAATTTTTAGTTTTAAAGTCATTTTCATAAATATGCTTTTCAATTTAAGCGAGAAGAACTTGATTGGTTTATCCAAACAGTTGTGGAAGATGGTGCTCGCCCTTCGCAATGTATAACAATTCCGCGCACATTAGATGGGCGACTTCAGGTTTGTTACTTTATAATTTTTTATCAAGTAAAAGTAACACTTTTAATTTTAGGTAGCCGGTCGGAAGGGTTTGTTTTCATTTTATATTTTGTTAATTAGAATAAAATTGTTTATTAGGGTTTCCTCACGTTGTTTATGCACGTATCTTCCGTTGGGGGTATATTTTTGCAATTCTTCTATCAATCTAATTTTTACTTTCAGGGATTTACATAAAAATGAAATAAAACACTCATCAATATGTCAAGCTGCATTTGATATGAAATGTGATTCGGTTTGTAGAAATCCCAAATTGTTTATATAAAAGTAAAATTAAAGGTTTGTGTTAATCCATATCATTATGAGCGTGTAGTTCCTATTTCTGTTGGAAAATGTGGTCTTGGTGTTGATTCAGATGAATCTTCACCTATTTCTGCTAATGGTTCGTGTTACGCCAGTGGTGAGGAAATATGTCATTCAAACACGGTTTCATCAAAAAATTGCTACGCATCGCCTATTGCTCGTGATATTGTTCCATCTTCAACGTTTCCCTCTAGTCCGGCAAAGAAATCGTCGCCACCTGGTTCAGATGTATCTTTAACGTCACATAATCAGCTGCTTGCAAACATGAATAAGGGATTGCTTATTCCAATGCCGCTTTCTTTTCAACAGCAACAACTTGCGCAAAAACATTTGGATAGAAAAAGGTTAATTTTTATTTTGTAAAATATTGACAAATATTAAATTAAGATCTGCTTGTTATGATACCCAACAATTTACAATGGACTGTATCAAAAGCAAATCTACTTTAGTTGATGATATTGTGAAAATCAAAAAACAAAGATTAAATGCTGAAGAAAAAACAAATGGAGCGCATAATGTAATACTCCCAACAGTTACTGGCTTTGCTTCTGATACTCCTCGTATAACTGTTTCATATCACGAGTGGGGCAGTCTTTTGCTTCCTCGTCGATCATTTTATGGTTCAGCTGTTCATTGTGGAACTAGAGATGCTGGGGATGCCAAAGAATTTTTCCAAATTGGTTGTGGGAAGATAATGACGATGGGAGATAGAAGTGAGACAGAATTTTCTCCATTGAAGTCTCAACAATTGATTGACGCGCGTAAACAAATCGGTTTGGGACTTGTACTTGAGTCGAATGATGATGGAGAGTTATTCTTGACAAGGTTTTTTATCTTGTTTGAAATTGTTTTAATAATACTGGTGTAGATTAGGCATATTTTAGCTTCATATGAAAAATATTTGGGTTTCCTCGATCCTTTAGGACAATAATGAGATAATTGCTGTGGCTTATGTTTGACTAAAATGATTAACATTTTTTATAAATCTTCAGTTATGCACGTCGACCGCTGCTTGTTCAGAGCTATTATCTTGATCGGGTTTTCTTAAAATTTGTCCTTATTTTAATTTAAAATCTCTAGGAGGCTATGCGTTCAGCAATGGATGCAGAAAGGATCAAGCATACTATTTTTCCTAAAGCTACAATTAAAATCTTCGATTTATGGCAGTCATTTAGACTAATGTGTCAATTACGTGTTCAAAAAAGACGTAATTCTTCCGTTGATGGTATGCCAGGGATCAGTCAGGTAATTTTTAATTTTTAGAATAATAGAAAATATACATTGCAATTAAGGATTCGTTTACATTTCTTAATCGCCTTTGCGATGTTCGTATTTCGTTTGGTGTTCAACATTCACATAACCTTGTGGACGAAGGCGATGGTTGTGATCTGTTGGAATCATCTCCTTGCTCAATGGAAATTCATATGGGCCGGTTGGTATAATCAATTAATTAATTACTCTATTGTTTATTTAGAGCTAAACGCATTTTGGAGAAACTCATTGAGCGTCCTGAATTGGCAAATCGATTTACAATTGCGAACAATTCTGGAGTCAGACCGGTCAAAAAGTTTGTAGACGGAATTGGAACCAGTGTTTAAAATCAGCATTTTTTGAACAAAGGTTGAATAAAAGAATATAGCCGCTTTTAAATTTATTTATTTGTAACTGAATCTTATCGAAACATTCGAACTTTTAGGAATTTTATGACGGTTAGTTTAAAGAAGCTGCTATATTTTTGTTGACCCTTGTTCAAAAGGTTAAATAATGAAATAATTAAAAATTTCCCGGTCTATCATATTAATTAATCCCCAGACATTGTTGTATAGTCTTCTTATTTAGTCATTTCACCTCTACCTACCTACAATCTTTAACTTATGCAGTTACAATTTGTTTTGGTTATATTTAACAAAAGGGGATGTTCTATTCAGTGTCTTTATTTTCTGAACATGATGTTCAATATTTTGTTCAATCCATGTTCAATATTTTGGACTGAATAGAACATCCTTGTTTTATAGATGTCAGTTGTATGCCCTGCCATTATTCAAAAACGAAAATTTAACTTATCCTAAGTAAAGGCAAGACACATGTTTGATAACTAGTTTTAACAACCATCTACATGAACAAATTTAGCTAAAATAATGTTATCAGTGCATTTAGTAGTAACTATTATTTGTTAGATTTATGAGGGATATTTTGTTGCACTGATAAAATTTCACAAATATTTAAGAATCCTATTTTTGTTGGCAATTTATTAACCTTTTCTTTTATCCTTTTTAGCATCTTCATAATTTTTTACTGTACACATGATTATCTTTTATCTCGTTTTTTCACATTTTCTTTTTCCAAAAAAGGATGCATTTAGTTTTCTTAGAATTAAACCTACAATATAGAAATACCTGTTTTTTGCTAAAGATAATAATTATTTCAGTAATACAAAGTAGAAAATTTGATAAGAAAACTAAGTGCATTTTGTATTTCTACTACACTTCCAAACCCCGAAGAGTAAATTGATCTCTGCCTACCAGTGATTAGAAAATATAACCCGGTTCCTATTCTAATTTCCTCGTAAACTGATTTAAACTTTTCTCGTACTCTATTTAATTCGCGGTTAATGTAAAATTTTTTAACTAATGTGAACTGATAATTTGATAAACTTTTGAACCCTTCGATTGTTTCTTTAGAATAAATTCTAAGGTGTAATCATAAATTGTTAATTTTTGGGACTCAATAAACCGGTTGAACTGACCAAAAATCTTATTATCTCAGAGGAAAAGGTAAGTGCGAAGGAAGCCTGACTTCACATTCAACAAGACGTCGGCCGTCTTGAGCGAAGCGAGCGATGGAAAAAAATCGTTGGTAAAATTCTGCACGAGTTGATTTAATTTTGTTGATTTAAGCATTTTAGAATAGGAAAATAAAATTTTTAAGTTTTCATCAGAAATTCACACCCATGTCGATGGTGGTTGTTCCAACTTGGGGAGAGTTATTCATACTATTGAGTAAATTGTTCCGACAGCATGGAATGTTGTTCCAAGAACGGTGAAAATTGTTCTAAAGACGGGGAAAGTTGTTCCTAGACGGGGAAATTCAACCAGCGGGACTCAACCGGCCGGGTTACTCTAGAGATCGGAATTTTGAAAAAACCGGGACCGGGAAACGGGTTCTGAAGGTCGACCGGGAGGGACCCGGACCGGGAAAACCGGGAATCCCCGTTCCCGGTTTCATCCCGGTCAAAAATGACCGGGACCCGGACCGGGAAACCGGGAAATTTTAAAAAATTTTGAAATGCATTTAAAAATTTTAAAAAGTTATGGGAGTAGTTATTTATTGAAAAATCGGTACTTATTGGTTATCCCAAAGTAGTATTGATGCCCTCATTGAAAAATGCCACAGAGAAAATTGTTGAAATTGAGGAAGGGAGAACCTTTGACCTTTTCATACATAAATGAGTCCGCATAAAATGTCCGCAAAAACTACTTTGGGATAACCAATAAGTACCGAAAAATCTGATTTATAAATAGAAGAATTTAATAAATCAGTAAAATAAATCAATAAAACAAATGTAAACTACAATAAAGTAAAACATAAAGCGGATTACGTAGGGCTAAAGGGATTTGAGAGGCTAGAGAATAATTGTGGGATATTAGGAGATTTTGGAGTTTAAGATCTCTCGATAGCCTCCTCAAATTTTTTTATATCGCCTATATGTATTCCTCATCTAATTCCCTTTAATCCCTCCTAATCCACATTGATGCTGATTTAATTTTTATTTATTTAATTTTTATTTAATCCCTCAAAATCCACTCTGAACTTCTCTGTGCAATAGTGATATCAGGGATTAAAAGAGATATCAAGAGATGTTGGGATCATTAAGAGAGATTATGGAGAAAGACCTCCAACCACCTATATCACCTGATATCTATTCAAATCCCTTTAATTGGAAGGCAATGATATCATATGATTAAATCATATGATTAAGGCAGATCTAATGGATTTAGAGGGATAAAGATGGCTTAATCACCAGGTCCCTTGATAAAATACACTAATTTCCCTCAACTTTTCCTCCAATAATACCTCCAAATTTCTTTGTTCCAAATTCTTCCGCGAAAATTTTGAGAATTTTGGAAGGCCAAACAGCCAAATTTCTTCCGTTTTCAGCGCCGCAGGCGAAAATTTTGAGAATTTTTGTAAAATCTCCAATATTTTTAAGTCAAAAATCAAAACGCCAAGCAAAAATATTTAAAATTAGCTGCTAGAATTTTTCCCGGTTTCCCGGTCCAAAAAAAGCCGGGATCGGGAACGGGAAACGGGAAATGAAAATTAACCGGCCGGGACCCGGACCGGGAAAACCGGGAATTCCCGATCCCGGTTTCATCCCGGCATCTTCAAAAAAGCCGGGAAAAAGGACCGGGAAACCGGGAAACGGGACCGGGTCCCGATCCCGTTCCGATCTCTAGGTTACTCAACTCAATTGAACTCAAACGGCGGTACTCAATATGCGGTACTCAATGATACTCCACCGCTCTAAACTGGCTTAGGACTTCGCTGCCCGCTCTCAACTGGCAACACTCACTCTATTTCTATTAATCGATCTGAGATTTCTACAAATACTTAAGGGATCTGATTTTTCTCATTTACATATCTTTTGATAATTAAATTAATTTACAATTTTAGAAACTATCTTTTTACATTTCTAGACCGATACAATGGTTGCCAAAAAATTAAAAGTTGAAAAGAAAGGGAAGAGCTCGCTGAATAAAGTGGTTACTCGTGAGTACACCATCCATCTGCACAAGCGCATCCATGGAATGTATGTTTTATTATTTTGGGTACTACTGCCATTTCCCCTCATTTCGATTCGCCATGAATTATGTTTTAACAAATTATAAGCAATTAATTATCCCAGTCAACTGGGGAAGGCACTAGTAGCACCTCTCGTTTTTTAATTGTCTTAAAAAATAAAATTTAAGTGGATTCAAGTACCGTGCACCTCGAGCTATAAAGGAGGTCAAGAAATTTGCAGAACAACAAATGGGCACTCCCGATGTCCGTGTTGATACGCGTCTCAACAAGTTTTTATGGTCGAAGGGAATTCGGTATTTTTATTAGTTTATTAAGTATTTTACAAAGAAATTTTCAGTAACGTTCCGTATCGTGTTCGAGTTCGTCTCTCGCGACGCAGGAATGATGACGAAGATTCGCCACACAAACTTTATACTTTGGTGACGCATGTTCCAGTGACTAGCTTCAAACGTCTGACAACAGTGAATGTTGATAGCGAGGATTGAAAAATTGATTAAATGTTCACTTTGTGTTGTTAAAATATAAAAAAATCTGTTGACAAATAAAAAATTTTTTTGTGAATTGTTGATTTAAGGCAGGGCTATTTTTGGAAATAACAACTACTTGTAAATGGTCTTTTAGGTTAAAAATTAAATTTAATCTTAAAATTCTCAAAATTTTCGCCTGCGGCAAAAACTCGTCTAGGAAAGAAATATATGTATAAGTGACTTGAATTTGAATAAGGTTTTAAATTTTATTTTCGTAGCGACTTATTTTTAAGGTTCCCTCTATGTACTTCTAAATTAAACTTTTGTAACTTAACATTTCGGTAATGGAAGCCCTAATTTAGGGACAGGTCAGACTCCTAATTGTTTTGTATTCGACCATGGATAGTCGATAACCTAAATCGATAAGAACAGATTTAGTAGTAAATATTTATTTTTAATACATTGAAGAAATTAAACATAAAAAGAACATCCAAACAAATAAATAAATTCCAAATTTATTTAGCAAGTTTTTCAAAACTTTTTTTATATCTTCTACTAGTCCATAAGCCTGTATGTGTCACTTTTAACTTTGTATGTCCCATCTTCAAGAATAAGAACCAAAGATTGATTGTAAGCATGTGTTAACCCCCCAATAGTAACTTTTCCCATTGAAAGGACAACAATGGACATATCATCGCTTGTTGGGTCAATTCTGGAATTTATACTAATTATTTGTGCATATTAAAAAGGCTATTTAAATCTAAAAATCATACCGATGCGCATCCAAGCAGATTACTCTGAAAATTAATAAAATGAATGTGGAAGTGAAATAGGGCATGTCCCAGAGCATTTTGTTTTGTATTTAACCAACAAAATATCCCTCCCCCACCCTTATTAAAAAAATTAAAATACTCGTGTTGTGTGGATGGCAGATTATCCCAAAATGATCCAATTTCTGTTAAGCCGCTATAACAATTTCCATTCCATATCAATTGTGGCCCGTTGGAGCTGTATAAATTAATTATTTTGTTTCGACGCAAATCTGCCAATTCTGTATATAATCGAACCAATTTGTCGGCATCAGCACAAACCTCTTGGTCTAATTTAACTTTAGAAGAAATTGAAGAACTCATATTTAAATTTCTGTAATGAATTGTTAATAATGAATTTCTCAATTTTTAAGATATATAAATTAACATTTTAAATATAAAAATTTAAATTGTGCACAAAACAAACAAACAATTTATTTATCCAAATATTCCCTATACATAATTGTCTTTTAAATATTACCAAAAAATTTTCTTCTTCTAATTTTATTTTTCCTTCAAATAATATTCCTAATCCTTCCAACGATTGTTCTCGTAGTCGTAATACGCAGCAGGTCCAAGGAAGCGTCCTTTCTCCATAACCAATTTCTTTTCAATAACACTTTCCTGAAAAAATAAGTATAAATTTATGATAAACAATTGCCAGGAAAAAAAACCTTAAATTCATTCTCCAGCGTTGGTAACGATGGAGGATAGCCTAAAATAAAAATTTTTAAAAAATTTATAAAATGATTATTTACAGAAGTAAGACAGAAAGCATCCATATAATAATGCCAAACCGCAACCAGCTAATGTAATTGCGACAGGAAGTTTCCAATATCCATCTGGAGCCTCATATTCAGAAAGTGTCTGACAAAAAGAATATCGGTACAGCAATTTCTTCTCATCCACAGACAATTGCTTCCAATCCCCCAATTCCTTCTCGCGAATTGGCGATACAATTTCGTCATTCCGTCGAAAACGAATTGCCGGATACCAAAAATCGGCACGGTCCTCGTAGAACTAAAAAAATAAAAACAAGTTTAGAATAAACCAATGATTTTTAATATGTAATAGTGAAGTTTTCTGGACCCCACCAATGTTTCATCTAAACACCTTTAAATTTTAATTTATTTTTTGGCTACCTAAAATAGTCAAGTCATGACTGAATGCAAAAAAGAATGATTTTAAACGAAATATAATAAAGAATAAAAACAAACCTCGTCACCTTTCACACCCCAACCAACAACTTCACGTCCCTGAATCTTTTCTGGACCCCACCAATTGTGCATACGAACATGAGCGCCATTCATAACATTTGTCGTACTGAAACCACAACTACGGATAACTTTTGAAGAATGAACTAATTTTAGAACAGACCCAACCATTTTTAGAAGATCTAAATAAAGAAATTAAAAGAAAACATTCGTTCACAGCAGAATAGGTCTAGAATTCTAGATCCAAAAAATCGAGAAATAGGCTCCTATTTTATGCTTTTATATGCCAAAATAGGTTCAAATTTTGGGTTAGTGATAAAATAAAAAGATTTTTGAAAAAAATTATAAAAATTGACAATGGTAAAAAATCCGGGTAGGGGACGATTCAGTATCGCCGATTCAGTATCGCCAATTCAGTATCGCCGATTCAGTATTGGCCGATTCAGTATTTGGGCTTTTTGGCCATAACTTTTTGCTCGATCAATATTGTAAGAATTATTATTTATGATTTGATAGGTCTCGGGGTGTCTCATCTTTTTCATAATTGGACTGACCTGATCTTATCACTCTACAAAAAGTTATCACTGATAAACGACGTCACAGGCATAAAAAATTGGTTTTCGCGCTGTAACTTTTTTTGTGATCATCAGATCTGATCGGGCCAATTATGAAAAAGATGTCGAATCTTGAGACCTTTCGATTGATATGAGAATTATTCGAATCGGTCGAATTTCAGGAAAGTTATGGCCATATACTGAATCGGCGATACTGAATCGGCTATACTGAATCGGCGATACTGAATCGTCCTTAACCGAAAAAATCCGACATAATGGTACATTAACAGAAATCCGACAAAATGATACATTAACAGAAATCCGACAAAATGATACATTAACAGAAATCCGACAAAATGATACATTAACAGAAATCCGACAAAATGATACATTAACAGAAATCCGACAAAATGATACATTAACAGAAATCCGACAAAATGATACATTAACAGAAATCCGACATAATGGGATCTCTCATATAAATTTTTTTTTAAATATGGGGTTTTCACCATTTTCTAAACTAAAATTCAATTTCAGACGGAAATCAAATATTTCTTCTTTCAAACATTGTCGAATGACGGATTCTCGATTGAACAAACTACGCGAGCTTCTCGAGTCACGTAATCGGATACTTCGATCGGAGGCTATTTCAATGCTTACACAATATGCACCCATTTCTAGCCAACAGGTTTATTTTTTTCTTTAACATTAATTATTCTTTGTTGGGCTATTTTATGTTTAATATTGTTGGGGTTATAAATTTTTGAAAAAACGTTCTTTTTCAAAATTTTAGCAAAGGTTTTGGACTTACAAACTTTTTATTTTTTTAGTCAATAATCTATTCATGGGATCAACTTTTTGATATTGTGGCACAATGCTTTCGCAGTTCTTTGTGGTATTTATTTTTATAAAAAATAATTCAAATTTTCAACAAATATTTAGGGAATGCCGGGTTGCTTCGGCTGAACTTCTTGCTGCTCTTCTTTTAAGTGCTGATAATGCATTTTATGAGAAATTTGAATTGTTGTCTAAAGACAAAATGAAAGAATATTTTGATGAATGTGCAACATTAATTGAGAATTTGGATTTAAACAAAATTATTTCAAATTATAAAATGCTAGTTGGGTAGGTTTTTTTAAAATTATTTTTTAGGATATTTAAACAAAATTTTTTAAAAATTTAAGATTCGAAGAGGAGAACGACACTTTAGTCGATAAAAACAATTCAACTGACATTAGTCTTCAACATAAGAAAAAGCAACGACAATTAATTGATTTACATTTGGATATGAATTCTGCTACTGGGGTTTCTTCAAGCACGTAATGTTTATTTTTTATTTTAAAAATTTTAGTGTTGTTAATATTATTTTTGTTATAAATTTTTATATTAAATTTTTTTGGTACTCTTCGGTTATTTCCCCCATCGTCCGCAAATGTTTGTCCGTTTGATTTGCTCATTTTTTATTTTTTAGCAAAGGAGAAAGATGGAAGGAGAAGACAAGAAAAATATTTGCGGACGATGAGGTGAGATAACCGGAGAGGACCTATTTTTTTGTTAAATAGTTAATTGAGAATTAAGTAAATTTTTACTTTCATTCAACTTTTTTATTCAAAAAAGTTTTTTATCTAGATTTTTTAAAGATTTATTACCGACGATGAAATTGCAACTTTGAGTGAAATTAAGAACACAAATTTAACTACAACAGATTCTCCAATTGTTTCTCGTAGAGAATTATACGAGGAAGTTGTTAACAATGAATGTCCTTTTGTTGATACTTTTTCTCATAATTCTTTAAAATTTGGGCAACAAAAAATTAAAGATGAGCCAAGTTTGGATGATGTTAATGAACAAGAATGTAAATTATTTAAAATTATTTTTATTAATTATTTTACATGTAGCTACTCTTCCTCTACAATTTTTAAAAAGTTTTTATGAATTTTTTCATTCTACTCTTCTTCGCGATTTAGTTAGTCCAAAATGGCAAACACGTCATGGAGCTTGTCTTGTTTTATCAAAAATTTGTAATCAGGCGAACAAATGGTATTTTAAATTTTTATGACTTCAATCAAATATTTTTTTTGAAAAATCTACTTTTATAAAGGCTGTTTCTGTATTCGAGCTTTCTCACTAAGGCTACCACTCGCCTACTTCAATTATTTTGTTTGGACCGTTTTTGTGATTTTGTAACCGGCAGTAATGTTGTTGCTCCAGTGCGCGAAGTTCTTAAATTTTATATTTATTTTAGGGTTTAATGATTGTGATCAATGAAAATAGAAATTACAAATTAATTTTTAATTAAACTAAAAATTTTAGGCAGCTGCTCAAGCACTTTCATTTATTTTGTTAAAATTGTCTGATAATGATAGTTTAAAAATCAAAAATGAAAACTATAAAGAAGAATTAGAGCCGTTTATGTTTCGAGTTGGCTCGGCAATTTTAAACCAGATTTGCAATATGCTTCAAATAACGAGTGAACAGGTTTCTACTATCTGTTAATTTTTTAAAAGTTTCGTTAGAACTAACATAAATTATTTTCTTGATAGAATTTCTAGTTCAACTTTTTTTAAGAATTGGCATTGTCGGCAAGGTGCATTGCTTGTTGCTAAATATCACTTTGCAGTGACGGCTTTTTCGCTGCCTTCAGATTACAAGTTGTTTGATCTTACACTGTTTGTTTTACTTCAAATATTAGGGGATTATCTCGATATCTTATTTTAGTATTAATTTTTATTAAGGTGGGCTCTTGAACATGATCCTGTAGATGAGGTATTTTCTGACTAACGAAAATTCTGATTAAAATTCAAAGATAATTTCTTCGGGGAGCCAGGCTATTTGTTCATTCTTCTTAGCGGCTAACTCCGGAATAGCAAAGTTCAATGCTAATATTTTGTCTAAAATTCGTCAAGAAACTCTTCCGCGAATTTGGGGTATACTACAACATCCTGAACGATTGACACAGCTTCGCGAAGGTGTTGATTCTGTACTTGTCGATTTACTTGGTCTTCTCGAATTTTGGCTATCTACGGATGAGGTTTCATTTTTTTAGTTAAGTCACTCTCTGCGTCTTAAATTTTCTATCTTGGAGGAAGAGAATCAAAGCACTTCACAATCTTTAGCTCAGCTTAGTGATAGTCAAGTAACACTATTAGTCGAGCTACTTGAATGCTCGCCGCAAACCTGTCCGACAGAACGAAATATAAAAGTTATGCAATGCCTTTGTTCGATTTTTAAGAACGATTCCTTAACTATAACTCCCGATGGCAAGCATATTTGGACTGAAAAGGTTAAATTCTTTTTTTTTATAAGTTTCATTTACTTTTTTCAGTTACTTTTCCAAACATTGAAACGGCTTTATAGATGTGTTATTTTCTGTCCACCAAGTTCTGCCGAAATATTGTTACCAACATGCCACAAGACACTGTCATTGTTATTAGAATTTTTTCAGCGGCATATGGCTTTGACGTCAAATTTCAACAATTTACTTGGAAATGATCTCTCATTGAATATAGGTTACTACGAAATTATTTATTCTCCAAACATTTATCGTTCTAACTATTGTCAGGCCTCTGGATTAGCTGCCTTATGTACGATCACAAAAATCCGGAAATTGGTTTGTGTTTTCTTTTTGAAATTTTTATTACTTCTAATAAGATTTATACTTTTAAGATGTATTTTTACATAATGTTGATGGATCTGACTCTCGACGAGACTTTCCTAAAGAATTACTGTGTGGGGAAGAATTACACTTTTTGGAAAGGAAACAAATTGATTTAGTTATTCTTTGACATATTTTATTTATTCTTCGTAAAATTTGGTAGGTTATCCTCGAGAGAAAAGCTATGGCTGCTCGATGGCTAGCGGTATGTTTTTGTTGTAATTATTTGATAAAATTATTTAATTACAGCCATTGATAAATACTCTCTTTCGATGGGGCTGCCCTATTGGGTTTGTTAAAAATATTTTTTTATCCAGTTTTTATTCAAAAAATTTAAGTCAACAGCCAATGTTTATATCCGTCCAGCTATTATTCTTTCCATATTTACGCTCTAATTCTTTATATCAAGTTTGTATTTTTGTTTCACCTATTGATAAATAATTAATTTTTCTAGAAGCTTGGGTCGGCACTTTTGGCTCAGGAATGGTCAAATGTTTATCAGAATTCACGTCATCTTGGAAATTTTTCATCTGATAATCAATCAGTACCTGCCCCTGATATTTTAATCAAAGAATTATACGAGCAATTATCTTGTAATTCAAATTCCAACAAGCTATTTGATGAGGTTTTTATTTACATATAATTCTGTCGTTAAAAATTTATGAAAAATTTTTATATTTTGTAGACAACCCAGTTGGTTAGTATATTAACTAAAGAGTGTAACGATTTCAAAGTGCGGTGATTTGGAATTATCCTTTAAATATAAAATATTTGTTTTTAGCAATATTGTTTGCGAAAGGGTGTTCCTGCTTCCGAATTACTTCCACTAAATCAGGTATGAAATATACGGCTTCTAAACGATTATTTTAAAATAGGTGACATCTATGGAGGAAGCTATTAAGTAAGTAACCTTACTTGTTTCAACGACTATATATTTTGATTTTATCTCTGCTTACCGTTCTTGTATACAGCGGTTAGATCAGGCAGATGACTTGCGTGCATTATCGGCCAGATATGCGCTTATTGTTGAGCTCATCGAGGATACCAAATTAGCTACACGAACCTATTCGAGGTGATTTATTTATATTTAAATAACTGGTTTTTAAATAATATTATTAGCCGCATCAATGCTTTGTTTTCTTCCGCACTCATAAATTTTATGGAACAGCTACCTGTGCAACTAACTCCACTTATAAAGCCTTTAATGGATACAATAGAATCAGTTTGTTTGATTTTTTATTAAAATTACTTTGCAATTTATAGGAAAACAGTTCACATATTGCTAATTGTCACTTAGTTAATGCTTTTTCTTCACTCATTGATCGAACCTCTAACAGGAAGCCATGCCCGCATTCTAAGATTTTACGTCAACTTATGTTGGGTCTGGGTCAATGTGATCAATGGTCACCTAAAGCTCTTAAATGGTTATCATCCTAAAATTATATAGAGTAAATATTTTTCTATAGGAATGAACAATCGGTTCTTCATAAAATAATTAGCTTGGAACAGTCAGAGTCATCAGTTGGAGGTTTGTTCTTCAATTTTATATAATTTTTGTTTATTTCAGATCGGCCACTTGCCATAAAGGCACGCAATTGTGTAAAAGTTTTGAGGTTTATTTGTGAGAGATTTGGTTCGAAAATTGTTGAAACTTGTCCTGAGATGGTTAACGGGCACTTATGGGACATGGTCAAAGAAAACGATGATGGAGAGGTTAGAATATAAAAAAGTATAATTCATATTTATCTTCTAATTTAAGGAATTCCTACTTCTATTGGATTATTTTGGAGTTATATTTCCAGCAATTACTGATAAACGAATACGTCTCTCTTTAATTAAAGAAAGAATAGGTCCAAAAATTCCTCACATAATGGCATTATTAGGCAATACAAATCCTGCTATTCGATTTAGGGTAATTTTTATAAAAATATTATTTTTTATCAGTCATCTATTGTAGGTCGCCCGTTTTCTGTCAAATCTTACAGAAATTGAGTTATGCCCCATGTTGAGACTTTTCTTCCAACCGCTTTCTCAAATGATATCAGGTTGAATTAATTTGAAAATTCTTGCATTATTTCCTTTTAGATAATGCTTCGACTTCTGTTGAATGGGCTATGTTAGGAGCATCGGAGCTTTTACTTAGGTTATCTACTATTGCTAGCAAATTGCTTGGTGCAATATCACTCATGTAAGGTTATTTTTTATTTTTCTTTTTTCAAGTTAACTTTAAATGTCGCGCTTAAGTCTCCTTGAATTTATATAGCTTAAGTCAATTTTTTTCAATTTTCAATAATGGTGATTCAATTTATTTCTTGTTATTTATAGATCTCTGTTGGCACTACGCTGTATTGGAGATCGAAATGAATCGGTATTCCAAATATTTTTGCTTTAATTTATATTATTTTTCATTTTTAGGTTCGAGCGGCTGCCGCCCTTGCCTTTCGTCAATTTGTTGCTTTACTACCTTTAGAAAATGTATTATTTTATAATTTTGAATATAGGAAAAAAATATTAAGGAATTGTGCAAAAATATACCTATTTTCAGAGACAAAATCATTTTTTACACGAATTGTTTGATGATAGCAAGTTGGATGACAAATCTGAGATGACGATGTTGCAGAACACATACATTAATTCTTTCTCTCTAGTTGATGTTCTTGGATGTCCGGGCAATTTACCAAAGTTAAGACGTGATGAAATTCCATTTCTTGTTGATACATTGGATTTACGTGATTATCAGATTGAAGGTTTGGGAAACATTTTTTATATAAATACCGTAATATGCAGGTATTACATGGCTAACTTTTCTTACTCGGTTTGGTTTGAATGGAATTTTGGCTGATGACATGGGTTTGGAAAATTATATAAATTTTATACTTAAAAATAATTTTTTAGGTTTGGGAAAGACTCTGCAAGTTCTTTCTTTGCTTTCCTGGGACTATGTTCAAGTAAATATATTTTTTAAATTCTGAAGAAATTTTACAAATATTTAGCGGGTTAATCAAAACAGAAAAATACAAAATAAAGAGGGCCATTTGAAGTCTTCATTAATTGTTTGTCCGCGCACTCTTGTTGATCATTGGTGTAAAGGTTTGTTTTTGTTTTGTTTTTGTTTATATATTTTTTTAATTTAGAATGGAGCTCATTCTTTCCATCTTCGCAGATATCTATTCAAAAGATTGCCAATTATAAAGAAGGAAGTAATGAGGGACGTGAACGTATTTTAGTTGTGTCCTATGAGGAATTGCGCTCTAATAAAGAGATACGGTTAGTTTTTTTGTAATTTTTGAAAAGTTGGTTTATAAATTTTGAAGTGAATATTATTGGCACTATTTGGTACTTGACGAGGGTCATTGGTAACAATTTACAAATTATTATAGCTAAATTTATTTTTAGTATTCGTAACCCAGCTAGTCAGTTATTTGAGTCTGTTTGTGCCGTTAAATGCTCTCATCGTCTTATATTATCTGGAACTCCTGTGCAAAATTCACCTGCCGATCTTTGGGCATTATTTACGTTAGAGATCTATTTAAAATATTTTTTTAATTTTTAATATTTCAGATTTTTAATGCCTGGGTTTGTTTTTCATTTTATATTTAAATTGATTGTGGATTAAACGTTAATCATTATTTTAAATAGTTACCTTTCATCACGAACCGCATTCCAATCAAAATATATGCGCCACATTTTAGCATGCAGAAATGCTCGGGCCAGCGAGCAACAGATTAAGGTTTAGTTTTTAAAATATACTCTTTCTCACAAATTGTTAACAATTAATTTTCAAAATTCGCCTAGCTTTGTAATTCTTATTTTTCAGGAAGGAGAACAAGCTTTACAGTCTCTACATAAACAATGTCTCCCTTTTGTATTACGTCGCTTAAAAGTATTTTTTAAATTTTTTATTAAAGTTTTTTCTAAATAGTCGGAAGTACTGGCTGAATTACCAGAAAAGATTGTGCAGGACAGAGAATGTGAATTAACTGTGTTACAACGCAATCTTTATCAATTAATTGTTGATTGCTGCTCTTTGAATGCGCGTGATGTTGATAATGAATGTATTTAAATAATTTATTAGCTATTTAAAAATTTTTTTAGAAATTTTTCTATTAAGAATTTTTCATATAAATAAATTTTCTTTTTAAGCAATTCAATGGCTGACACCAATTCAAGTATTACACGCACTTCGAAAACTTGTCGATCATCCTCTTTTGATTTCGAAGCTTATAAAGAATTTAAGATGTGAGGACACTAATTATAATTATCTCGCAGAGCAGTGTATGCAATCGGTTTGTTTTGAATTCCCTTTTTTTAATTTTAAAATATTAAATTTTTCAAGTTAAATATTTTTTAGCATATTGAGCAATCAGGAAAGATGTTAGCTTTAAGAGAATTATTAAATGAATGTCAGATTGGAGAACGTTTCAGCGAATATGATGTTAACTATTCTCGTAGCAAAGGATTAGAATACGAACAAAAACTTGAACAAGGTTTTTAAGCTAATTAAACGTTCAATTACTGCATAGTGTTACTTCTAAAAAACATAATATTATTAAATGTAAACGAAAAATTTTCAGTATCTAGCACAAATTATTATGAATCACAAAATTTTCTTTCTAATACAACACACAAAGCTCTTATTTTCTGTCAATGGCGTGCAACCATTGAGGTATTCCCCCACATTTATAGCGAGAAATAAAATCCTTTAAACATTTAGCTAATTTCATATTTCCTGAATCATGGGGAATTTGGTAGTGGAATTAACTTTCTTGTTTTGGATGGACAAACACCTCCATCTCAGCGACAGTCAATTGTGGACCGCTTTAATACCAATCCAAACGTGCAACTGCTATTACTTACTACACATGTAAGTTTACTTTAGACTTTTGCAAAACGTTTTAGAAATCCGGAATTTCTAGAATATATTTGTTATATTTTAACTTATTTTCAAATCATTTATCATCATTATAATCTGTATTTATGGTTTCCGATTGGACAATTTAAAATTATTTTCTTTCCAATCAGTCGAGTAATTGATACAAAAATATCAAAAATTGATAAAGAAGAATATATTGAACATAATCTTAAAATTATTCATAGGTTGGTGGAATTGGTCTAAACCTGACTGGAGCTGATGTCGTTATATTTATGGACCATGATTGGAATCCATTCCGCGATCTACAAGCGATAGACAGGTAAATTTACGAAAGAATTTAGACATCTTAAATTTCTAGGGCTCACCGACTTGGGCAAAAGCGGACTGTTAATGTGTTCAGGTTATTTAAATATTTATCATTTTTTAAATTATTTATTAGACTTATAACACTTGGGACTGTTGAAGAAAAGGTTATGAGGCTACAAAAATTTAAAACGGATACTGCAAACGTGCGTAAACTTTTACAAATAAATATTTCTTATATTAAAAAATAGGCTCTCATCGGCGTGGAAAATCGTTCACTTTCTTCAATGGCAACTGATGATTTATTGGAGCTATTTTCATTAAAAAACCCTGGAACGAATTTAGACGTAAATGCAAAATTAAGTAATACAAAGAAAAAAAGTAGAATGTATTCAAATGCAAGTTGCTCGACTGAAAATGGTGTTTGGGCAGTTGATGAGCTTTGGGGGAATCAAAAAGAAGAGGAAGATACTGAATTCGAGCAATATATTGAACAACACTCTGTTAAAAAATTTCTTTACTCAAACACCTAGCTGATTTGGCAAAATTTCTTATATTTTGTATATGATGTTGAATATATAAACGTTAAATGATTCAAAATTCTTTTAATTATTAGCTACCAGAGTTTCAATTTTTGTAATCTACAATTCGTGGTTGAACATATTTGGCAACGTCTACTTTGTATTTATTCTTTATCAATTATTGATTATTCACAAAAGAATTATCAGTATTTCTCCCACACCCTCCCTCAGTATTTATTATAATATTGACAAAAACTGTCGCTTACTTCAGCTAACAAAAGAATTGGGCAATTCTCACATAATAAAATTCAATTTTATGTTAATTCTTTTCGATAACACGTATTTCTCCAATTCCATTTAACATCTAAAAGTTAGTGTTTAATATTCAATCAAAACTAATGTAATCGACAATCCCCTCTAAAACGTAAAAGAATGTTAAAATTTCGACAAGACGTTTCGAACTCACCAGACAATTTTGAAGTAAATCGTAAATGCTCATTTTTTTCAAGCCAGGTATTTAATAATTAATAGAAATGTGCATGAAACTACTGTGCGCTCATTTTTAGCTTGGTCATAGTAAAGCGACTATCATTCTCAGCAACATAAGTTTACCTTTGGTAGGCAAGATAATTTTATTAATAAAAATCTTAAAAGAAAAATTATTTTTCTTTAGGCATGGCCTAGTGAAGAGATTATAAACTTTGGCGAAAGAAAAGGTATTAAAACTAAACCTAAACCACGGATGCGGATAATATCCGGATACCCGCGGATATATCCGGATAATGACGGATATAGATAGTATTTTTTTAATCGAGTGGATGCGGATATGATGCTGCGCCAAATCCGCGATCCTTCGGATATCCGCTCATAATTTTTACAAGAAATGTTTTCGCATGCGGCGCTTAAAATGGAAGAAGTTTTCGGCTGCGACACATTTTGAGAGAAAACTTATATATGCGCGGATACCCGCTGATGGATATAACTCAAAAGTTACACGGATATAAACGAATGCGGGTATTGACCTCCCACTGATATATCCGGAAACGGATAGCAAAGTCCGTGTCCACGTGCATGTCTGATTAAAACGGCTTTCAAAATTCATTTTTTACCTAAAGATTGGCGTGAATTTACTGTGCAACTTGTATTGAAATCTAAAAGGAATAATGCCAGCCAATTCTCAAAGCCAAAAGAGTACATAAACAGAACATTTACGGATGTAGAATTCCCGGAGGAGTTTATATTTCCCGATGAGGATCCAGACTTTTGCATTGAGGCTGGTGGAGATGTTTCCTTAATTTAACCGAATTAATTAATTGAATAGTTGTATGTCCTCTGTAAAAGAATTACTAGTATTGAGAATCCAGGTTCTATGGTGCAAGCTGTTACGCATTCACTTGGGCGCTCACTTGGCCTTTCTTGGAAAAAGTATATTTCCAGAGAGAGGAGTTAATGAGAAAATCTCATTTTTTAGATACCAACAAAAAGAAGAATATCAAAATAATCGAGCATCAGCTACTCGTTTTGCATCCCGAATAGAAAGCAATATTGGAGGAGCTCCAAATAGGCGTTTCCTGGAAGAACTTCGGAAATTTGGTATTCGGGAAGAGAAACGAAATGGGTCTGGGGTGGAAAAGTAAAATATTTAAAAGAATTCTTATAATTTAAAATATTTTAAAGAGCTCCTCCTCCAAAAATTCTTAAAGAAGAGCAAGACTATATCATCGGGGTTTAAATTCAATTTAGACTTAAATTTAATTATTTAAGTTTGCAAGATTTCGATTATCGGATGCAATTCTAAATGGCAAAATACATAGCTATATACTTGAGAAAATGTTACCTGTTCAGAATCTTTTACCTATTTATGGAAATATTAGTGCTCAAATTTTTGTATTCCAATTTTTGTTTATTTTCCAATAACTACTTTCTTAGGTTCAGCCAATTTCTCTAATTACTCCATTGGCGCAGGGATATTTAGATATTTTTATTCCAAATGAAGGTGAATATTTAAAGAATAAATGAAGTTGAGATTTTTTTAGAATAAGAATTTGAAACAGTAAAAAGGAAAATTTAGGTATTTTGCATCAACAAATATATTGCGAACTTCAAGGAGGACAGCTGTGTTGCTGGGAGACTAATAAGGTGGAAAATGCAATTTTGGATTCAGACCTGCAATTTAGCAAGACGGCACCGACATTCAGTTTTCAATTTAATGGGGTAAGGGGTTATTGAATTTAAAAGTATGTATTTTAATATTATTTTTGTTGATTAATTAACAGAAAGAAAGGCTCGAAAGAACATCATTTCCAACTGCATTTCGCCTAATTTTGTTTAAAGAGCACATTGGTGTCTCAAACAAGGATGAGAATCAGTGTCTTTTATGCATCTGTCCATCACAACATGCTTTGATTGGATGGCGTAATGCATTAAATTTACAAAGCCTTGACTATAGTATGTGCCTAGAATTAAATAATTGTTACAGTTCAAATAATGTCATTGTAATTATGAATGTAACACATAAATATTGGTACCCTAACTAAATACACAATAGAAAGAATTTTTAACTTCACTAAATATTTTAAGGCGTATGGGCAGAATTTGGACAAATCCAGCACAATTCTTTGGCATGTAAACCTCGAACAAACTTCCAATCGAAAATACAAAACATCAAAAATGATTTAAAGGTTTTCTTTGGCTTTATTTGTTTCGAATAAAGTATAAAATTTAGAAACAGAAGACTGCTTTCTCAAAAAGGACGTTATCACTAATAGGTAACGATCGACAGAAGATTGATGAAATGGCAAGAAATAATATTCGGTCAACAAATCAACTTTCATCGGCATGCAGGATCAGTCTACTAAAAGTGTATAGACAAAAACAGGCAAGAAATATTTAGAGAGGGTATTGGACTTAAATAAAAGTTTAATGTGTTCATTTTAAATTTCATTTTTCAGCTAACAAAAAATGATAAATTTACGTCAGAAAATGTGGTTTCAGAGAAAATTTATCAAAATGATTCAATTAAAAATAGAAAGAAACAAACACAAAATTATGTACTTTCATTAAACATTAGAGGAGAATGCATAAACAAAGATGATAAAAACATCCAAATTCAATCGGTAATTGTCTTTAAAAATGTTAAATTAACCAAAAACAGTTGCAAAAATTACAGAGAGAACAAAAAGACAGCAACCATCAAATGAATAACAGAAATATAAATGAAATTAATAATAATAACAATGAAAACAATCAGAAGAAGCCTAGTTTTGATTATAATAATCAATTAATTAATATTAAAAAACAACCGAAAAAGTATAGTGAAAAGTAAAATTTCAATAATTTTTCATTATTTTTTAAGTTCAAAATTGGAACGATCTGGAACATGGCATTATGCGAATAATGGTGGTCAATCATGTACTCGATTATAATGAAAGGATTAAAAGAAAAAAACCTAAATATGTATATTTGTATTAAAATTGTTAATTGCTAAATTAAAGTTTAAACAAAATGTTTACGTTAAACCTCCTGGATAGTTTTAATTATTTTAGGGCAACTAAATACGACACTTGCAGACGACACTTGCTAAAATACAAAATTTTTAAAAATTCGGATGGGAAGATCAAAAGTTGAGAATTAACCTAATTCCCCTCACATCAGAATGAGAGAATTTTCCTTACTTCTGACCATTTTTACTTTTTCCCTCTTTTGACCCTTTTTCTTGTTTACAATAAAGTCAGACGCACGAGAGATGCGTTAAAATAAAGAGTAAATAGACATTTATTTAAATTTTGGCGTTATGTTTAAGGGAAAGAGTTAGATAATTTCCGCGCGTGCGTCAACGGAGTGGACCAGCTTTGTTTTATTGTCTAATTTTAGATTGAAGAAAATGAAGCATAATAATAATCAAACTTTAATGCGTTCAGATATTCTCAAAAAATTATTTCAAAAATTTGATGAAGAAAAATTTAAAAAAGAAATTAAAAAAGAAAATGATTATTCTACAGGTTTTTCTATTTTTAAATTTAAATAAAAATATTTTTTAAAGAAATTCGAAAAAGTATTGCAGAAACAGAAGAAGAAAACGGACTTATTTGTTTACATATAATTAATAATGATTTAAGTCCTTTACAAAATAAAAACAAAATTAAATGGCTTTTTGACGTCCAAAGGTTATTTAGTATTCAATTACCCAAAATGCCTAGAGAATATGTTGTCAGAATTGTTTTTGATAAATCTCACAAAAATTTAATTATTTATAAGAAGGATAAAGGGGTTATAGCTGGAATTTGTTATCGGTTGTTCCAAGAACAGGGATTTGCTGAAATTGTTTTTTGTGCTGTGACGGCTGATGAACAGGTTTTTTTTTGAGTTTTTGGCTTCTAAAAAATTGTTTGGTTTTCGTATTTGATCTAATTTTTAATATTATTCTCATTAGAGACCGGAATTTTGAAAAAAACCGGGAACGGGAAATGAAAATTAACCGGCATATACCGGGAATTCTTGATCCCTTTACTGTCTCTAATTCTCTATTTTCCATTTTGTTTCGCTCGCTAAAACAATCTTTTTTTGTCAAAATATTTTTTTACTTTTTACCAATTTTAACAAATTTAGGTCAAAGGTTATGGAACACATATGATGTATCATTTAAAAGATTATATGGTCGGGAAATTGGGCATTTATCATTTATTAACCTACGCAGACGAATTTGCTATTGGGTATTTTATTAAACAAGATTTTATTACCGAATTTGCTTTGCCTTCTTCGAGATATAAAGGCTATATAAAAGATTATCAAGGGGCGACTTTAATGTATTGCCAATTACATCCAAAGTTTGTTTTTCTCTTTTAAATTAAATTAATTTTATTTAAAGATTAATTTATATAAAATCAAAACAAATTTATTTTAATATGAAAAAATTTTATTCTTTTGCATTGAAAGAATCTTTTCCAAATTTTGGACTTCAATTTGAAGGATTAAAACAATTTTTTGAAAAAAATGGTTTTCTTTTTTTTTAATTTAAATTTTTTGAAATTTTTTAGGGGGCCAGCCACTTTGTTTAGAACAAATTAAGGGAACTGAATCCCTTTCAAATATTGAGGAATTGAAAAGGATTGAAGAGGAACAAACAAAATCTCAACAAACAGAAACTTTACAAAAAAATTTTCGATTAATTTTACAAAAATTAAAAGAAGACAAAAATTCTTGGCCTTTCAGGTTTTTAAATTGGAATTTGGTTAAATTATTGGAATTTGCTACCCCCCCCTCCCTTTTTTATTCATCCTATTAAAAATGGTCTGAAAATATGTTTTTAGAACCATCTCCAATGGGGGGGGGGGTATGTATGTAGTTCCCTTTTCCGTATTTCCTTAAAAGTTTTTGGTAGCAGACAATACCGGATCATTCATTAATTTAGATACAATAAGGAAAGAAAAAACGGGGTTTACAAATAATTTTTTAATTTTTCAGAGAATCAGTAGATGTTGATTCTGTTCCAGATTATCACAATATTATTAATTTTCCAATTGATTTGGGTATAATTTCTCAAAAATTCAAAAATGGATTTTATACTTGTGTGAGCATTTAAATTTAAATTAAATTTACTAAATTTTTAGGAAAGAATGTTAATTGCTGATTTAAAAAGAATGTTTTTTAATTGTTATAAATTTAATGCCCCCGACTCTCCCTATTATTATCACGGATATAAATTAAATGAAATTTGTTTAAAATTATGCAAACAATACTTTCCTCATTCAAGATTACAACCAACATTACCTGAAAATAAACCTAAATTTGTTGTTTCTGTAAAAAAATGATTAAATTTTTGTAAAATAAATATTTTTTGAAAGATAAAAATTATCAAGTTATCCATTTATTAACAAAAAATAAATTGAAAATCCAGTTTTCCATTTCAGTAATCACAAGTAACAAATATCGGCGTTAAACATCTCAGAATTACCCAAAAAGTAAAAAAACAAGGATTGGGTGGGGGCTAACTCAAGGAATTCCAAATCACGGAATGTTTTAAAAATCAGAATATTTTTAGAAGTCAGAGATTTTCAGAATTTCTTTTTTGGATATTCCCTGACTTGTCCGTTCCATGAGTTAGCCTAACACTCAAGGATTGAACATAATTAAAAACAGATTCTTTTTTTTTAATTTAAAATTTAGTTTATTAAAAAAGTTCGAATGTCTCTCCTTTTTATTTTTCAATTTTCACATCGAGAGAAGTACTCTACTCCTCTATTCGGCATCCTTGACAATTTTTGTTTATGAAAAGTGTTTGCTGCGCAGATTTGTGGATGATGAATATTTTTATTATTATCCCCCAAAAATATATCCCCTCATTTCTTTCTCTCATTTAACCAAAAAATGATTAAAAAATATTTTTCTTTCTGTTATTCCTTTCTTGTTTGTAATCAATTAATTATTTTATCGATAAGCGGAATTTTGGTATTTAAAATTTAATTTTGAGGTTTAAAATTTTAAAAAAATATAAGGGAGAAAGAATACCGGATGCAACAGAAATTGATCAATATGATGATCCTTTATTGGATGAAGTAAATTTTATTTAGTATAATTTTAGAAAAGTCAAATATCAGAGGCTTATTTCAGATATTTAAAGAAACAAATTCTGACATTCAAAAAATAGAAAATATTGCTTCCCCGGCAAATCAGCCACCAACTACCCAACAAATTAATTCAGAATATTTAAATAATAAAAATTTCCAATCTTCTTCCCAATCATCTCTTGGTGGAATTAATCCAAATATTAAACCTCCAGCCGGTTCTTTATTCCCAACAGAAATAGTTAAACATCAACAAAATACTTTTGGAGGATTTCCTCAAAATCCTTTTGAAGGAGGGGGGTTTGACCAATATAGTGCTAACAATAATATTTTTGCCCGAACTCCTCTTACTGATTTTGCCTATCAAGCCGGACAGACATTTTATTCGGGTGTAAGACAGGTAGGTGTTTTGAATAAATTATTTATTTGTTTTTTATTTCAATTTTCAGGCCAGCCGTTTATTGGGAATTGACTCTGGGCAATATCAACAATACGAAGTACCACTGCTCAGCCAGATTCGTTTCTTTGGAAAAAGAAAATAAACTGATAATCTTGGAATCCAATTTAATTATCCTTATTTTCTCAAATATTAATTAAATTTAAAATTCTTACAAAAATAATTAGTTTTGCTAATTCTTAGCACGTCTTATTTAAAAATAAATCACAATTTTATTATTCATTTTTTTTCCTTAATCACCCCCCGCTTTCTCCTTTTTTCTGTGAATATTCTTTCTCTGAAAATAAACCGTTTAAAAGGTATTTTAAAGAATAAATTAAATTTTACTTTTTAAATATTGACCAATCCTTTACATATAAAAATAACTCATCCAGAAATCTTGTGATTAATTTAATTCCTTTTTTCTATTAAAAGAGTGACTAAAAATTCAAAAAAAAACATCAAAAAAGCAGCTGACAGTCTCTTAAAGATCCCCCAAATAAATTCAAAATTGATCAGAAGATATTTTTGTGGCCTGTCAAAAGTTGTGTGTCACTTAAAATGTCATCCCCGACCTCAGGCAACAAATATATAACCCTCTCTCTCCCTCTTTTTATCACACACCACACAAGCTATGAAAGATGAATATCTCGAATTCCCCTAAATAATTCACTAAAAATTGTAATTATATTTTTAAACAAATTAATCTAAAGGTGTATTGCCCTCTAATCCTAATCTCATCCAAAAATTTCTGTAAAAATATTTTTTAGAAACGGGAATTCTTTAATTTTACTCTTAAAGAGCTTAAAATGAATTTACAAATTATTTTTGTATTATCTACATTTTTTGTAATTACTGTTGTGTACAACACCAATGCAATAGAAATTGGATTGAGTGCAGAGGCTGAACTTAATAATGAAAAGATGATCTTTAAACGACAGGTAAACTAAGAGAGAGAGAGAATTCTTCAAAGTTAGATTCTCTTTTAAAATTATTTTTAAACGATTAAATTACCAAATTATTTATATTAGATTCAAAATGAAGAAGTAAATAATACCTCCTCCTCTAGCGAAGAATCTAATGAAGATCCTGAGGGATCTGGAGAAGAACCAACAAAAGTTAGAAGGAAGAGAGGAGAAGTTGAAAAAGACTCGTCATCTTCATCATCCTCATCTTCCGAAGATAAGGAAAGTGAAGGTTCTGGGGAAGAGGGGGGAAGTTCGACAACCAGTCCACCGCAAACAGAACAACCAACCGAAACAGACCTCTCAGAGAAATAAAATAAACAAAAAAAGTGAACAAGCAAATGAAGAATAAATTAAGAAATGCCAAAATTATATTTTTGAATTCTTTTTTTAATATTAAAAAGTTCTAATCCCAAAATAAAAAATATATATTGAAAACATACTTTTTTCACAAAAAAATTAAATAAATAACAACTAGAATTCCCAAAAAAGTATTTAAATGTTTTCCCACCTTTCAATTAAGCATTAACCCCAATATCAAATTCAAAATCCTTATAGCTTTGGTCTAATTCTTGAATACGCACATAACCATCCTCTCCACCGGAGACAACTAAATAGAAAATATTTTAACTTAATTAAGGGTAGCTTTTGTATTTTTAAAGTTTAACAAAAAAAGGGACGGGATTGAGACGGGATATCGATAGTGATTTTTCGAGATATCACGCCTAATCCTCCAGTCCTGTCTATCAAATACTTTTATTTCCTCTATTTTTCTATACTTACCAATATCCCCTGTTGGATCAAAAGTAATTGAGTTAATTGGACCGAAATGCCCTTTAAACCGCGCAAATTCCTCTTCAAAAATCATATGATACAGTTTTGCCTCAAATTGTCCAGAAGAGGTTGATGTCATCTAATTAAAAATTAAATAAAATTTTTAAATCTATTATTTACCAACCGTAACATTCACAGATTCTTCCCCACCTCCCAAAATTATATGGTCTCTAGTTGGTGAAATTGCGGCAGAATTTACTGGACGAGTTGATCTATTAAAAGGTAATTTAATTAAATATAAAATTTTCCCCTACTTGTATTTTTTCAATTGTTGTAATGTACGTGAATCGTGTAACTGTGCAGTTTTATCTTTTGATGAAGAAATCAAAAAAGTTTCGTCCACAGATTTTTGTAATTCATTAATTGGAAAATTATGAGGACTACTAAAATCCTTTGCATCATTTGGCTGACGTAAATCGTACAAATGCAATTGACCATTTTGAGTACCTAAAAAAGTTTAATTTCCATTTAAATATTTAAAAATACCAAGAATAATAGTATCATCCAAATGTGAAAAAAGACAAGTACTGCTTGGTTGATCAATTTCAATACGTAAAGTCGGCTCAAATTTTTTACTAAATTCCCGAAGATCTTGAACAAAAACACCGGCTCTATTTGAAATTGCTTTTTGTGTAGATAAAACAGCTAAATTTCCACTATATGAAAGACCTAATTAAGCAATAAAATTCAATTAATTAATAAATTTATAGATCATACCAATTGAACGAACAACTGAGCCAACTTCACTATCATTTAATTGGGCGCCCGTTTCGACATCCCAAACCTAAAAATCCATTGATAATTGTGTAAAACTACTTTAAAAATTCTCGGATTAAAAATGGAGATAGATTTCTTGGAATATTTTCAACAAGGTTTTGATCCTTATCCTGATAAATTTCACATAATTGAAGACCCCAGACTACGGAGAACGAACCAAAAATAAAAATTTTCAGTCCATATTAAAAACAATTTAAAATTTCAAACCATCATATGCTGATCACCAGAAGCAGAAACAAGTGTTTTAGTGTCCCAACTTACATCAACATCCCAAACAACACCAGTATGCCCTTCATAAGTACCAATTCTTTCCCCATTTTCAGTATACCACACACAAATATGTTTATCCTTTCCAGAAGAAAAAAGAATATCCCCCTCTTGATTAATACGTACACGGGTTATTGGACGCCCATGTCCTTTCAATGAAAGCGGTTTCATTTCTAAAAAAACAAAAATTTAATTAACAAATACGTACTTAAATTTACTTAAGTGTGCTAACAAACCGAAGTATCAAACAAGCTATAATTCGATTAAAAAATTTTTTAACAAAGGCTAGGCAAGAAATTATTAAAATTGTGAGTGGAATAAATAAATATTAAAAGATATAATATCCAAAAATATATTATTATAAAAATAACTAATAAAACCAAATTTTATTCAAACAAGACTGTTCAAAATCAAAAAATTATTTAGATAAATATCCGCGCAAGTCACCAAAGTTCTCAAAGCTGCATTGGTTCTGGAGCTTGATTATTGTTAAGACTTGCAATAATTTCTTTAACTTGCTCTGATGGAAGGCAACCAAACTTGCATCGTTTACCCACAACTGCAATTGCAGTATTCTAGAAGAAAATAAAAAGAAAATATTTTTGTTAAAAATTATAAAAAAACATTCTCATCCAATTTAGTATCTGTCTGAAGAGTTTCTTTAAGAGCAAGAAGAGCATGACGAATAACAACATTTTGGTCAGTACTATTTGCATATTCGTCAAAATGTTTTTCCAAATAAGTACGAGCAGATTGAGAACGAGCCCTAAAAGTGGAGCTTTCATTTTTCCGACCCTCTCCACGCAAAAATTTAAAAAAACCTACCCAATTGAAGCAGCTTTAACCATTGTAACATTAGCAGATGGATCAGCATTAATTACATGTGGACCAGAATCCTTTAAAAATAAATCAAATAAAAATAATTTTTTAAAATCCTAACATCATATCCAATAATTAACAATCCAACTCCAAATGGCCGTTTCCCATAAACCTGAATATTCTCTTGCATTCCTAGATAGAATTATTTTACAAAAGTAAAACATATCAATTTACTCAAAGTTAGTTTTGTACGCAAATTCTCTATCGGCAAAGGCGTTTGCAATTCAGAAAAGAAAGTAGCACATTCATTTTGAATAAATCGGCTAGAAAAATTTATCGAGTTTTAAAAATGGAAGCTAAAATTTACGCTAAAATTCTGCCATCCGCTAAGAGACCAGACATTGAAAGACCTACATGACCATCCAATTCAAATATCTTTGATTGATAAGAAGATAATTCGCTTTGAGAACGCTAAAAATAAAGAAAATGAGATAAAAAATATAAACAGGTAAGGGAATCGATTTGATTCGTTAAATGAGTAAAACCAGTCTTTAAACACAAGATAACCAAATTCGAAATAAGTAAAAAAAAATCTTTACCATAAGAGCAACAACAACGGCATGATCTTTTCCATGCAAAGCAACAGTAGCACTTCCTTGACGCATCGCTTCAACTGCATAATCGTTTTGATGTAAACGTCCCTAAAAATAAAATTTTTCTATTTTTATAATTTAAAGTTAACCTGAGGACTAAAAACAGTTACATCACTATCATATTGATTTCGAAACATTTTTTTAAATAATAATTAGAAATATTTAACTTTAAAATTAAAATCAACTTAATACTAAAATATTAAAAACGCGGAACACGTTAAAATCAGCAAAAATTGCTTACAAAAAGAATGTAAAATACAAGTAAGAAGAATCTATGACAATTGGACAGCCAGACAATTAAAAAATGGACAATTGCAAAGTAAACAATTACACAACTGCACAGTTTTTGAAAGATATAAATATCTGATATCTTCTATGATATTTATTCTTCAGCTCTTTTATCTTTCCATTTCTTCTTTTTTCTTTAAACGCAAACCTGTAGAGGCATGAAATTTTGCAAATTGTTCATTATTCATTAATAAATCAAAAAATAAATATTGTCCACATTCACTAGGTATTCCTACATATCCTTCTTTGTAAAGACGCTGAGAAAGTTTTGAATTGTTTGGAAGCCTAAGTCGACGAATTGAAGCCCCCGAAAGTATTTTTACTTTCTGTTTTTAATAAAAAAAAATTAATTAAAATTAAAAAAAAAGTTTTTACTTTATCAATTTGTTTAATTAATTCCGGCAATCCTTCTAATGTACGGCAAGAAATAGCAAATAAATTATTATTATTTTCTGAAGTAAGAATTCCCCATTCTTTAAGTTTTTCTTTTCTTTCAGCATCACATTTGTCCAATTTATTACCCACATTGATTATATTATTAATTAAATTTTGATTTATTTTTAAATTATGAAGTGTTTCCAAAACATTGTCACGTTGTGCTAGAAGATCTGGATGTGAAAGATCCATTATATGGATTAATAAATCCTTAAAAATAGAAAAAATTTCGAATTCCAATGTTTAGAATAATTCAACATAAAATCAGCCCCTTCTATATACACCAGGCATAAACCTTTTAATATTTTACAAATTATTTTTAATAAAACAAACGGCGCTTTCGACATGTTGTAAAGTAGCAGAGAAAGATGCCAACAATTTAATCGGTAAATTAGAAATAAAACCAATTGTATCCGCAAAAATAACTTTGATACTTGAAGGTAATGTTGACAAATGGGTGGTTGAATCCAAGGTTGCAAAAAGGCGATTCTCACCCAAAAGTGTTGAAGAATCAGTTAAACGTTTAATAAACGTTGTTTTGCCAGCATTAGTATAACTTAAATTATTCTTTTTTTATTCACAAAAAATATAAAAAATAACCCTATAATGCCAATTACAGGGGTCTTTCCAGGGCCATATTTTTCTTTATTTTCTAACAATTCTCGTTTAGTTAATTCAATAGAATTGTTTATTTGTTTTCTAATTTTGTGTTCACGAAGTCGAAGAAATTCTAGCTGTTTTGTACCTTCTAACCTAAAAATATATATTTATCTAATTGTTTTAAACATTATTTATTCCTTTTTCAACAAAAAAATTTCTTTTTGAAAATTTTTAAAATTTTTTGAAAATTAAATGTATTACATTCAACACACCTGGCACGCTACACCTGGCACGTCGAATAAAACATTCAGATGTATTACATTCAAAAGGGGACGATAATGGAAAACAATAACGGATCGGATGATCGAATTTTCTCGGGGAATCTTCTCCTCTCCACCCATTAATTGTCAGGATAAAGTTAAATTTTTAAAAATTTTAAGAATTTTCAAAAAAAAATTTTAATTTTCAAAAAATTTTAAAAATTTTCAAAAAGAAATTTTTTGTTGAAAAAGGAATAAATAATGTTTAAAACAATTAGATAAAAAAATAAAACCCGAAAAGAATCGAACTTTTTAGAGAAAAAGGGTAACAAACACACTCACCACTACACCACCGCGCCAACAAAATAAACGCATTATTTAA